TCATGAACACTATGAGTCTGTGAAATGCCATGGATCAGCAAAGAGATGGAACTAAAAGACCTTAAGTAGGATAGAATTGGCTTGATTGGACCAACCAATGCCATCTCTGGTCTTCTCCACCAATTCCGTTCCCCAATCTCTCAAAACATATTTGAAATTGCTCATACAATTGCCTTCACTCTTGCCAACCTCAGAAGACAGGGGTCAGTCTGGACCAATCAATACTCTCTCTAGCTGTCCATTATGGTCTGTGTGTTTGTGTGTGTTTGTGTGTGTGCACGCACGCATATGTGTGTGAAATTCTTTCCCTCCAAGGGCGGCAAAATTCCCCTCTTCACCATTTCATGCCAAAAAAGAAATACCAAACAAAGGTCCTTCTCAACCCCCCTCACCCCACTTTCCACTGTGATAGGAAATTCTGAGAAGGGGGAAGGAGGGTTTTGTGAAACAAAACAAAGCTTTGAAAACATTCCTAACATTCTTTTGTTATGTTTAAAAGCTTCTAAAGGTGGAAAGGAGAACAGCCTATAATACTTTTGCAGCTGCATATTTTTCCAAGGCTCGTAACCATGGTTATACAATAGATGACTTTGCTGGGAAAGAAGGGAAGAGAAACACAGTACGGTATATAAGTCAGGCTGTAAAAACTCTGAAGTTGGGATGAAAACGCAAACCACCAACACCATTCAGTCAGTGTCACAAACTTAGCTTACAGAATGCCCCAGTCACCCCACTATCCCGGCCAAAATGTTCAGTCGGCTCTCCAAACAAGCCAAGTGACCAAAAACCTGGAATCAAAAGCCTTGATGCAGCGTAAATGGGCTCATAGTCATTGTATGGAGGTGTCCTCTGTGAACCATGAGGAGATCGGAAGCCAAATTGAGAGCGATCATGGAAAGGTCCTGTGCTTTCCTGGCATTATACTTTTAGCGTGCTTAAAATAACACTTTTGCTTTAAAATAGCTTTTTTAACGGGCTTCTGTAATGGATGAGACCGCATTACACCCAAGACAAGGGAAATGACTGCAGTGCAAAACGAAAAAACAGCTCCAAACAAAACAAACATTCTAACAAAGACAAGTGTTCCCTCGCACTCTGCCAAAATCTCTCCTCAGCTATCATCAGGCTGGGTGTATGTTTTCACTTATTTGGTGTCAATTTTCTGCTCTTCTAAACGCAAAACTACAGGCCTGTAATGGAAGAAACAGCTTCATTCCTGCTGTGTTTGGGGCAACCTACTCTCTCTGGGTAGCTTCTCTGAATGGTAAGCTGGCACTCTACGGACACAGAAGAAGTTCTGTTTCATTTTCCTGAATGGTCCTGCCCTGCCCTGCCATCAGCAGTGTTTTCTAGAACAGGGCTCTCCAACCTTGGCAACTTTAAGACTTGTGGACTTCAACTCCCAGAATTCCTCTTGCTGACTGAGAAATTCTGGGAGTTGAAGTCCACAAGTCTTAAAGTTGCCAAGGTTGGAGACCCCTGTTCTAGAATGCCTTCATTTTCTTACTTTGGGAGAGAGAAGCATGTTTCTGCTTGGTAAACTCTATTTGGGGGTCCAGGGAAGTTATCCGTTGCCCACCTCTGTGATATTTGAAACCTGAATTACTTGTCTATGGGACCCAAAGCTGCTTTTTCAAGAGGCAACTGGACATTCTGGTTTTTCTTTGAAGACGTTTTGCTTCTCATCCAAGAAGCTTTGTCTATGGGGACGGAAAGGGATTGTAAAAAAAATAGCACTGGTAATGTTTTTTTTCCTTTAAAAGTAAGAGAAATAATTCTTCAGCTTAGAAAGAACATGATCGTGAATGAGTAATGTCTTAGATATGCCCACTGTGGAACACCCTCTCCCCACAACTTAAAGAGGCTTGTTTCTGAATAGAGCTGAGTTGTAAGTCAGGTTATTTTTTGTGAAGTTTGTGGTCAGCTGTTATGCTGAATGTATGGTTGAGTGAGGCCTGGGTTAATAGCAGCTTGTTTCCGATTCTCCTGCTGGCAAATTGTTCAGCATTAAGACTAAAGAGTTTGGGTGCTTGGAATCCCAATGTATTATGTAAGATGTAATGTTACTCTATGGCAGGGGTGTCAAACTTGTGTCGTCATGACGTTGTCATGAGTTGTATCATGACTTCCCCCACTCCGGGCATGGGCGTGGCCAGCATGTGATGCATCCAGCCCACAGGCCACAAGTTTGACAGCCCTGCTCTATGGTATCAGGTCAAATGACCTTAGTAAAATAGATCACTGAGTTAACTTTTGATTACATTGCATTAACTTTATTGTCTTGAGATAGGTAATAAATAGGTAGATGTTAGCTAGATAGATAGCTTTTTTTTAATCAAAACCTTTAAGCAGGAAGATAAAAGCTAATAAAAGCAACTAGTAGAAAGTAATAAAAAAAGAAAAAGAAATAAAAAAAGACAAAGGTCAAGGAAAGAAAAAAAGAAACGTAGGAAAAAAAAGTGGCATCTGATATTCTTCACACCAGTTATAAGCACAAGCACATTTGACCTCTCTAAGGTTACATCATATCATTTTTAAATAATCTATCCTATCTAATCATCAAAACCAAAGGTCACAAGTTCATTGTTTTCATTTTTACACAATCTGTAAGTCCATAAGAGACTTCCAGTCAGAAACACATATAGATAATGTCTTCTCTCTAATCAAAGAAGTTAATTTATCCATTTCAGCAAAATCTTTAAACGTCACCAGCCATTCCTCTGTAGTAGGCAGTGTCGCATTTTTTTATCTTTGTGAATTGAGTGATCTCACTGCTGTGACTTTGAAACCATGCTTCTAGCCCTTGTCAACCTCCCCAGACTACCTCTGCCTCCCCTTGGTTGTTGTTGTGCCACACTAAGGATGCTTAGGAGGCTGCAGAGGGGTAGGGTGGAATGAGAGGTCCTTTCCCTCTATCAATGGGGCAGAGTGCTAAGCAAATCAATGTTTCTCATAGATTGCCAATCTGTGCTTTTGTGCTTCACATCAGATCAGTAAGTAGGATATCAGTAAAGTGAAGGAGATCAGGAAAGGAGAGGGATTTTTGAACAGGGTTGAGCAGGTACATCTAAAGGGAAGGATGCCTTTTGTTCACTAAGCCACTGATCTTTTGTTGGGATTGGTGATGCTCTAAGCTGAAAGACTTAGCAGTCCACTGCTTAATCATTTATACCTTTTGGAGGATTGTGTGATATGTGCTTGTCCCTTAGCAAACACAGAAACCCTCCTGTTTTGTATTGTAATCATGAACCAGAGCTGGTAACAGCCTATGTGCTGAAAAATAATTGGTACATATAGTAAATCGGGATCTGACAATGAATTGTCGGTGAGGCTGCTTCTTTCTTAGCTCTCAACAGGGGAAAAAGAGGATAGTGGTGATATTGCTTTTCCCAAGGGAATTTTCCAGTCTCATCAATCTGGCTCAGCATGATGAGTTCGAAGAATGGAAGATGGCTTTGAATGAAGTGCAATATTGTTCAACTCAAGCTGTGCATTGTCTGAGGCTGGTCAACAGATTTATTGCCCATAATAAAAAAATATTAATCTAACAGAAAAATACTCCCCTCCACTTAATTAACAAGGAAGTAAAAAAGTAGACATTCAGCTAATTGTCATGGTAGCTTCATGATTCATGTGTTGTGGTTCCGTTTAAAAAAAAAAAAAGGATTTGCAAAACTTGAAGAAGACCTATTGGCAGGTACTGGTGGAAAGAAAGAAAATTGAAGAGAAAAAGAAAAGAGTTTCTAACCTCCATACTCCAGAAATATACTACTGATTATTTTCCCTGCACCATTTCTAGGCTAGAAATTAATTGAATATCTAACAGCAACTATCCCAGTAATAGAGCAAAACCAGGAGCTGAACAAATGCCTCGTGCAGAGAACACTTCAGAGTTTCTCTAGCAGCCTGTCTGGTGGACCCAGTCATTCTGAACTCCCTAAACACTATTTCTGACTTCCATCTTCCTGAGAGTTGACTTAAATATTCAAAGTGTGTGTGTGTGTCTGTGTCTATGTGTGTGTGGCTGATTAAGTTTTATTTTAGTTTATCACAACCTCAGACACTTCTAACTTTTCCCCAACATTCAATCAATATCTGCACCTAGAGAAAACATATATTTATTTTGCTCATTCTTTTCTGTGAGAAAAGCTACTATAGGAAAGAGAGAGAAGAATGTGATTAGGAAGAAGGAATGTGGCACCTTTGTGGTAAGCTGTTTCCTGACTCTGTGACTTGATCTCCAGAATGGATCATCCAAGTAGTCAATCCCAGGGCATTTTTGTCATGGAGCAGGGCAATAGGTAGGGGCACTGAAGTCCTGCTGGCCAGGGAGCTACGGCAAAGTGTGAACTCAGAAAACCTGGCAAATGGCCCAGTCCAAGGAAAAGGAGAGAGGGAAGGAATTTCTTTATGTTGGTAATACTATAGCACTGTTTCTTTGTAATGACAAGATAAGGCAAAATCACCATTATTCTGCTTTTTTATTTTTTTTATTAAAGAAAAGCTCATAGCAAGCAATACAAACAATGGAAATGAAAACTACAGTAAATCAAGGCAACTAAAATCTGTAAACAGTAGGGGAAAACCAGTTAATTGAGGCTTAGGTCAAATAACTCTGCTAATTATTTTTAGTATGAAAATATGAAATACTTTACATGCTATGATAATAAGAATTTAGTAAGACTTCTCTGAGTTGCAACAAAAGGCACCTTAGTTGCTTTGATCTGACTTTGAACTGAGTTCCCTAACATGTTGCTTTTCCAAATGGTGGGACTCCAATTCCTGGGCTTGCTGAGCCAGCACGTCATGCTGACCGTGAACCTTTTCGCTCTTTTGATCTTAGGCATGTGTGTGTGTGTGTGTGTGTGTGTGTGTGTGTGTGTGTGTGTGTGTGTACTACACTACACTACAGTACAGTACACAATGCAATACTATACCATGCTACACTTGTTCCTGACATTGCTTTTTGGTTCTCCCATTTCTTTTATTTCTCTGCATAGGAGGAATACATGGGTTACTTCCTCAGAAGTGCCAGGTGATGGTGCTGCTGAACCCACGGAGTGGAGCAGGAGAGGCCCTGCGTCTGTTCACCTCTCAAGTTCAGCCGATGCTGGCAGAAGCCAGCATAGGATTCCATAAGTTTGTCACGGGTGAGTCTGGTGGCTGTCTCAGAGCAACTTAGGGAAACTGGTTTAGTACAGGTAGGCCTCAACTTACAACAATTCGTTTAGCGACTGTTCGATGGTGCAACAACACTGGCTTATGGCCCTTTTCCCCGCCATTACAGCATCCCTGTGATTATGTGATCCAAAGTAGGATGTTTGGCAACTGGTTCATATTTACGATGGTTGCAGGGTCCTGGGGTCATGTGATCCCCTTTTGCGACCTTCTGACAAGCAGAGTCAACACTGGAAGCCCAGATTCACTTAACGACTGAACAACCTTGTTACTTAGTTTAACAAATGCAGTGATTCACTTAACAACTGTGACAAGAAAAGTTGTAAAATGGGACAACATTCACTTAAAAAATATCTCACTTAACAACAGAAATTTTGGGCTCAATTGTAGTCCTAAGTCGAGGACTACCTGTAGATATGGCTTAGACTTCCATTTCCGGTTCTGTTCACTCATTTTGCCTTTGGCCAAGTTTTGTAGAATGACATCATTGGCTATTCTATGTTGTAGAATTCTTTGCAGTTTCAATGTATGAGAGTAAGTAGTTAATTCAACCTGCTTCAGTTCTCCTTATGTGGAGGGTTGTAGTTACAATGAACTGTGTAATTCCATTTAATAAAAAATATAACGTGTATGACTAAGTTAAAACTATCATCCCAGTTAAGCTTGTGGCAAATAAAGACCACAATAATGGGAAGATGCTGGATTTGGAGAATAGGGCAAGTCTGAAAACTGTGATTGTATCAGCACAAAGTCATTCACTTAGAAACTCCAATTATCTGACTGCTTTATGGATCAACTTTGTCAACCTCTCTGGCATCCAGTCTTTCTGGGCTCACTTTAAAGCAGTGGCTTCATTAATATAACTCTCGATGACTTGGGACCAGGCTACTGTCAACTTGTTATGTGGAATCCTCCCCAGATCTTTCCAGATTCCTTCAGCAGGTGTCATAAGACAGCTTGCCATATTCTGTCCTTGAAATCATACTGGATTAGATTTGTTGATTTCCTTGTTTTTCTTCAAGTGCCCAGATAACTTTCTATAAAATTTGCTTAGAAACAAATGCTTTTAGCAAACAAATAAACAAGGGAGTTGATCAAATCAACCCAACCAATGTTTAACGTAATGGTGACCAAACAGAAAGGAAGAATTATTGGTGAAACAGATCTTTGTGCTTCAGGTATGAGGTGTGTGTGTGAGAGGGGGCGGGGAGGGAGAGAGAGAGATTTTGAGATTGATTGATTTGTGGATTAATTTAGAACCTATCCAGACCTGTCAAACTGACAGCCCGTGGGCCGGATATGTCACACACAGGCCAGGCCCTCCACAGCTCTGCAAAGGCCAAAAATGTCACTATCTGGCCCATGACATAATCAAGTTTGACACAGGTGCTATAGTCCATCTGAATTAAAACATGATCTACAAGACATGTAAGTTTTGTTTTCCCTTTCTCCTCAGAGAAACATAATCATGCTTGGGATTTGGCAAGAGAGGAGGACATGTCCAAATGGGACGCCATGGTCATTATGGCTGGAGACGGCTTGCTTCATGAGGTAAGGAACAGGGCAGGTGGCTATAGGGACTTTATGGTGTCATGGCTCCAGTACATGTTCTCCTCATTAAAAAAAAAACATTTTATTGGTGAAAGAAACAACCAGAAGACATGATGAAATACAATCCTAAATATAACAGCACTAATAAAATCAGAAAAGAATACACAGAATAGTGATTAAATGAAAGTCACTGAAAAAAAATAAAAATGTATCCATAAACTTTTAATAGAGATCTGGCTCAATCCTTTAATGTGTTATTCTATCTAACCCTGTAGGCTGTTTATTGCTCCATCTTCTCACTTTTGGTGCAATACGTTATTTCGATACAATGATATTTATGACATAGATTTCTAATATTTTATTATTTAGTTCCTTAGGGAAATTGCAATCCTTGATCAGCAGAAGCAACAACAGAATTGGGGTGGGTGGGTGTACAGTGGCCTTTTTTTTTTAAAAAAACTATCATTTTAAAATACTGCTCAACTACCCTTAGCTAAGTATTTTTTACATGTTGTTACCTCAAATGAATTGGTTAATTTGGAATGGAGATTTTATTTCTCTACTGTTTTACCACTGTGTTCATAATTTTGAACTTGCGCTTGATTTCCTAACTAACACACAAAAGTTAAACTGGGAATGAGCAGTTTTTTACTTTCACCTTTAGAAGGATGAACTGAACAAATTTGCAGAGATGCTTCAGAAAGCAGAACCAACAAGCTGCCTGGGTGTCTCTTTTCATTTTATTTTATTTTACAAGAAAAGAATTTCCCTCATCTTCACAGTTGGGGAGAAATTCTTGATGCGCTTCAAGAAGGAAGCCATGAGTCTGGATTGTTAAGTTTGAGGCATGGGTTTAATGAACGGAGACCAGACTGTAAACCGTGAACTTCAGCTCTTTATTCACAAGCATAACAGAGACAAAAAACCCCGGCTAGCAGTCACTCTTTTATAGAGTAAGCTGCTATCCGGATAACCAACGGATAGCGTTATAGCGTTTGAATCTTGGCACGGCCCACCAACAGCCAATCAGATTGCTCGGAATGAACCAATCATAACTTGCCATTATATGGGCCAATAGGACGTGCAGGATTACGATCCTGCTAGGCAAATGAATCTTTATTAATTACATTTCTTTCGTTCACAACATGGATGATCGTAAACTCCCATGGTTTTGAAACAACCGCCCCCACCCTCACCCCAACTGAAATTACCTTGGCTCTGGAGCTGATAGGGCGAATTCCCTTTAATTGACTTCCATGGGAGCCAAAGGGGTAAGCAGAGAGGCTGGGTGGGGAATGGGGAAAAGCAGGGTGAGGGGAGACATTCCTCTCCCAAGACTTCAGGACAGAATTTTTGCCACAGCTTAGCAGAACTCCTCTCAGTGTTTCTGACTGTCCTACTCTGATCCCTGATCAAGATTCTCCTCTTTTTTTAGCAATAGAAGATAAAACAATCGTACAATTTCAACTAGCAATGCAAGAAGCAGAATATAGTGAATTTTAAGTTAAATTAGATTATTTGAATTGGCAGATTTTATAGCCTTGTCATAAGCACTATTGATGAGAGTGTGGAGATAATGGAGAAACTTGCCATTACTGTATATTTATTTCAATCTGTCACGTGGGGTTAAACTAAATCTTATAGTGTTGAATGCTGCTTGCTGAAAACAAGGTCTTTCAACTGCTTTCCACAAAATCCCAGAATTTTGCGACAACATAGGTTCTTTAATGGCAAACAAGCAAGCAAGCAAGCAAGCAAACAAATAAACGTTTGCTCAGATGCAGTGCTTCTTGATCAGGGGTCCTGGAATATCTTTTTTAAACTAATCATTTAAAAGGGACTTATTTTCCAGTCTTGCAACTTGTGTATACTGTAAAGGCTGACCCAAATTTGAATCACACTCCTGAGTCTGAATCACATTCTTTGTCCCAATAAATATGTTGAAACTGACTGGCTGTTTCTGTAGTGGTCATTCTTCAATGCAGTCAAAGTCCAGTTTAGATGCAAAACCAGACTTCTCTGAGCTTTTCCTCTGACTGTCAATCTGTGTCTTTCAGGTGATCAATGGCCTGATGGAGCGTCCTGACTGGAAGACTGCGATCCAGAAACCTCTCTGCATTCTCCCAGGAGGCTCTGGGAACGCTTTAGCTGCTTCACTTAATCACTATGCTAGGTAAGTCATCCCCTAAAGATTTCTTGTGTTGCTTGTTCTATTACAAATGAGGCCACACTTTCTCAGGGCCACCCCTACTCTTAGGTCAGACTAGTGAGTAACTGGAAGAGAAATTGAAGGAGGGTCATTATGTCCTCCTGGCAATACAGTCTCCCTTGAATTGAACTTGGCTTTTGGTGATTTCATGAACACATCACTGTGGTTTTTCTAGCAATGAAAGGCATTGCTGTTGCCCTCTCCTGAAAGTTTTTAGATTTCTAGTTTGATCTGTAACCTGGGTTTTCTTTATTTTTTTTTATTTTTTTTTCACATTCCTGAACCACCCATTTTCCTCAGAGACAGAGTATACAACCAAGAATTAAAATATAAGAACGGTAAACTTAAAGAAGAGGCAAGGAATCATCAAACACTGTTAGAATTAATTAAAAGGCCAAGGGAGGGCTTGTAGGGCACTAGCCAGCCCCACGATTGCACGCTCCTCTGTGCTCCCCATAGGAGGTGGCAGAGCCATGCCATTAACAGGAGAGCGGAGGCTTCCTGTCTCACCTCTGGGAGGGGGAAATATCCCCCCAGAAGTGAGACCGGTGGGTGCAACGGCAGAGAAAGCTCTCTTCCTGGACCCTGCCAGTCAAAGTTCTTTAGCTTTAGCTGATGGGAGTCTGAAACATACTTTCCCCGCCTGACTGGGTGGGACAGGCCGATGTGATAGGATGAAGAAGGTTCTTGTCGTTTTAATCCATTTTGTAGTATTGTAGTTTCCAATTATTTATTCAGTCACAGAATTGAGCCTAATTAGCTTCTTGAGATTAGACAGTACTGCCTCCTGTTTTAGCGGCCTTTAAGTGGGAATATTCAGTGCCTTTATGTTGCTGCTGTTAGACAGATTTTGCATCTCCAATTTTGTAGTGAGGACTCTGTGATTCGTATGCAACCTTTTACATTGCTTATCCCCAACCCGATCTGGCCTTTGCCAGATGGAAACTCTACTTGGTCTTCCATTGGTGCCTGAGAGTCTGTGGGCCTTTCGGATTGGAGCAAGAGTCGTTCCTTCTTTCTGCTTTGTGAGGCAGCCATAGGTAGAGGCAGTTTCACACGGCCCTTCCCCTGGACTGAAATGGTGTATATTTCCTTGGGTTGGTATCATGTGTTATTCAAAAGAGAGATGTGGGGGACGTTCTTCTCTTGCAAAGCTTCCTTTATTACTAGTCTTTGGCTCAGCTTTCAATAATCTTCCAGAAACTACGGCTCCTCCCATCTCCCTCTGTGCTGGCCTCTGCCCTTTGAGCCGCAGGCCCCCTTCTTCCATCTGCTATGTGGCTAATTCCCCCTCCCCCCACCCAGCTTCCCTTTGAGGAGGGAGGGTGAATGAGGTGTGCTGAGGGTATTCTGGAGGGGCTATTTTCCTTTCTGTTACACGGGAGCGAAGCCACCTGACATTCTCGAAGCTAAATGCTCTGGTATCATCATGGCGGAGAAACAAGGCCAGAGGAAACAAGTCTGGGTCCTGTCAGACAGCCTCAGCGGGAGAATGAGTCACTCTTCAGTTTTACGTACATTTCAACCCTGCCTTCTTCAACATGGTACATTCAAATGCATTTGACTCAGCTAGGGAGACCATCAGGCAGAGAAAGCTAATTATTCACTAGGAAAAGGGAGGGATCGTTTTCCGTCCTTTTTCCTCCTTGAGGGTTGTATTTCAGTCACACACACACACACACACCAACTAGATACTCTAGTAGAGTTGTACCACTGACTCCTCCATGAAATCTCTCCAGGACAAAGGCTACTGGTGGAGTTCATGATGGCTAAGACTACTTGCCAAGACTGATAAGGAGTTGGAATTTAGAAGGCACCTGGTTGCTTTTCCCTTGCCCTAACTGGTTCATTGAACTGCTGTAATTTGATAAATGAGCTAAGATATCTCAAGGGATTTCTGTAATCCCAAAAAGGCTGACCAGACATTATAGAAAGTTAGTTAAAAGGGCAAAGTGTGAAATCCTAAGGTCTTTCTGTTACCCCGGGAGTCTAGAAATGCTCTGAGGTCAAAATGGGATCACCTTCAGAGGGAGGAAAGGTGGGATGCAAACTGAGATGTCGAATACTTATCTTAATCATGCAGGAATTACTTGCAGAGTGGCAATTCTCTAAATTATTCTTGAAGAAATCATTTGTATTGAAAATTGCTACAGGAATTATTTTTAAGAAGTGTATGTGTATGAAGGTAATGGTTATTAATCTGGATTTTCCCTGCAATATTCTTTTTACACAAGTTAGATCTCAGCTGCACCCCCAACACCTGGCATTGGCCCATGTTAGTGAAATCTGTTTCCTGTTTCAAAGCTTTATTGCTGATGGTGCACTTTCTAATCCCAATTCTCCTATCATGTTCCATGGCCTGGCTTCTATGGAGGCATGAAGTGTATGAGCCCTCTTATCAAGATTTACAACGTTAACTTATCTTTATCTTCTTTCAAAGAAACCAGGATCATTTTATGACAACTCTGCCTCCTTAAACTGAGAAAGGGTGAATGTCTCAGGGTAATTCCAGGTAGGCTGGAGTATTTGAAGAATCTGAGTCAAATTAGATGCATTAGCTCACACCAGGGGGGGAAAATGCAGTTTGTGGGTGGATGTACCTCTCCCCAGACACAAAACGGCCACATTTAGCAGTATGATTGCATGGTATGAACTTTCATTCTTGTGGATAGGTGTAGGTTTGAAAGGCAAAGTGTTCTGTTCCTTTAAGCCTATCAAATACTGGTAAAAAAACAAGTCTTCTGTGGGTCTTTGGAAGTTAGAAACACAATGCTGTGCACATCCATTGCTAATATTCAAGGAGGAGGAGTCGACAACTTTCATCTCTAGCCTAAACTGCTACTGCCGTGACAGTGGCATCTTTAATCTTATTTGGGTTGCTGGAAAAGGCTTTTAGCTAAAGGCAATAGTAAGAGGTCACTTATCAAGAATCTCTGAAGTGTTGCGATTGTACTAGAATTCGTATTATCTCTGCACGAGGTTTGCTACCCGCTGCAATAATAATCTTGCCATATGCAAGTAGCATCATGTAAGTGGCATTGATTGACATAGAGCAGGGCTGTCAAACTCACATCATCACAGCATCGTCATGTGACTTATTGTGACTTTCCCCCCCTTCACTAAACTGGGCATGGGCGTGGCCAGTGCATGACGCATCCGGGCCACGAGTTTGACAGACCTGATTTAGAGTATCTTTGAAACAGTAGATAGGTAGATCAGGTAGATCAGCTGTTCATCCAAGTTCAATATTCTTGCATTTTTCTGATGGAAGAAATCGAGCAAAGGAAAACAATTCTGGGATAGCTGCTGCCTTCAAAAAGAGGCACTGATCTTTTCTTTCTGGCTTGCGAGGAGCACATCTACAAACCTGCCGTGAACATGGTTACTCCAGATGACTTTAGGTTTTCTCCTTTTATTACATTAAAACATTTCATCTTGGGGGTGATATTTGGAGGGATCATTTAGGATGCGTGTTGTGCAACCTTGGCATTAAGGAGCAGGAGAGCTCTGCTGGGGGCCTGTAATGTATAGGAGAGGAGGAGGCTTTAATGGTAGATCATGCTTTTTAGTATATGCTTATGCTTAGCTGCTTAGGGAGGGCTGTAAAAAGCACTGTGAAGGGGTATATAAGTCTAAGTGCTATTCCTATTGCAATTTTTTTTTCAAGCCAAGCAAAAACATTTATGAAGGTGGGGTCATATCTTTTAAGAGGGTACAGAAACAAATGGTACATACATTCAGGGTCTGTAAACAAATGATGAAACAATACAATGCATTGCTTGTAAAGTCTAAACAACAGAAAACATTGATTCTAGATAATATCTAGTACTATTGCAATCTTGAACACATTGGAACAGTAATTGTGTGCTGGTTTTCTATGCTACTTTATACTTCTCTCCCCATGGGTGGGCTTACACATCCCACTAAGTAGCGAAGTGGCTTGTCTAGTTTTGACTTAGCATGATATGTGAATCCTAAATTTGCAAGTATAGATTGGGGTTTATAGCTCAATGTTATGCCCTAAAGGTTACTAGGGCACGTGGAGTGGCTTGTTCAAGAAATCATGGTTTAACCTAGGCTGTCTTTCCCTCTCTTCCCCCATTACAGCAAAAGTCATGTGGCAAAGGAGGAACTGTTGATGAATTGCACCTACTTCTTATGCAAAGGCCTGCATGCTCCCATGGACCTCGTCTCCCTCCGCACGGCCTCAGGCAAGCGTCTCTTCTCCTTCCTTAGCTTTGGCTGGGGTTTTGTCTCTGATGTGGACATTACCAGCGAGAGGTACCGTAAATTGGGTAGTGCCCGTTTTACAGTGGGCACGTTCCAACTCCTTACTTCACTCCAAGTTTACAAGGGCCGCCTCTCCTACCTGCCAGCTGAAGTACAAAGCTCTGCCTCAAATTCCTTGCCTCCCATAGGGGTGAATACCAGCCCCTCACCTCAACATCCTCACCAGGTCTCCACTGCTGTCCACACCCTCCCTCAGTCTGCATCTTCCCTCCTGAAGGAGGATTCTGTGCTGGAAGACTCCTTGTTGGTACCCTTTGAGCAGCCAGTTCCCAAGCACTGGACTGTCGTCCCCGAGGAGGAATTTGTTTCTATAGTTGGCATTCAGCAGTCCCACCTGGGAACAGACTTTATTATAGCTCCCACGGCCAAGCTGTTTGATGATGCCATCCATCTCTTCTATGTAACTGCTGGCATTTCCCGGATGGGAATGCTCAGGTTATTCATGGCCGTGGAGAAAGGGAGCCAGTTGACTCTTAACCAACCCCATGTCCACTGCGTGCCTGTGAAAGCCTTTCGGCTGGAGCCCCTGGAGCCCAAGGGGTTTATGACAGTAGACGGCGAGGTGTTGACATGTGAGCCGGTGCAAGGACAAATACACCACCGGCTAGCCCGTATTATTAGTGGCTCCTGAATGAGCATCAGGAAGAAACGGTGGAAAGGGTTTTTGTGACAGCACTGTGACATTCTGGAAAGTTGTGAAGAAATCTCCAAATGCTGCATCTACTGCATTCAAAACACCATCAGCATTGTTCACAGGGATAATCCTCAGGGAGAGCTTGTCTTTTTCTGCAACTTTTAACTGCGATGCAAGTAGCGGAGGAGCTTGTCTTGCCCATGACTTCTTCCTAAACTGCTATGCAGTGAAAGGCAACTTTAGAGTCTCCTTGCTCTCTGCATTACTCTAGCAGAAGGATGCCTTCAAACTAAACCAAAGCCACTTCCCCTTCTGTCTGGATAAAGATGTCTTAATCCTTTGCCACTCGAAGGACCAATTTTATGATTTTGTAAGGAATATAAAACACATACATGCCTTGTGTGTAGTTGCTTATATTCCCATGGAGAAATGAAAGTCCTATTTTGAAAAAAAGTAATGTCTGTTATCGATGCTGTGATTTTGGATTGCTCTTATCAAAAGGCAAAGCACTTAATGTAACATTTCACCCTCTTTATCATTCAAATGCAGGTAGGTTAATTGAAACAAAACCGGCTAACCTTCCCCAGGACACAACAGTTCTTCAATGAGATGCACATTTGATTAGGCAACTCCTAGGTTATTTCTATAAAAGTCCAAAGTGGCACCTTTATGTATTCACCTTCCTTGCATATATTCCTGGCTAATATTTGTAACTAACACATTCCATCTTACAAACTATAGTTTATTAAAGGCAGCTGTCAAAAGAATGGAGGGATAGTGGCCATCTTTTTATTGTAGCCTGCTGTTTCTTTTTAAACTGCAGACAACTTAATAGTTGAGGGCAAGATAGTTTGGGGAGAGGGAGGTAGTATCAGGGCTATCTATAGTTACAATTAGAGGCCAAAGTGCTATTATCATCTATCTAAAAATATGAAAAATGGACAAAAAGAACAGACGCTTCCCAGAATCTCTGGATTGAGCAGTATAGAATTCATCATAATAAAGGAAGATTTGGAGAACACATGCTCTAACTATATAGCTGCTTTCAACTTACATTTAAGGCTTTTATGATTGGACAGATAAAAGATTAAGAGTTGGATGGGACCTTGTAAGTCATCTAGTCCAATGCCCCACAAGCAGGAGACCCCACACCATTTCTGACTGACAATCCAATCCCTTCTTGAAAACCTCCAGTGATGAAGCTCCCACAACTTCCGAAGGCAAGCTGTTTCCATTGGTTGATTGTTCTGTCAGAAAATTTCTCATTTCTAGGTTGAATCTCTCATTGTTCAGTTTCCATCCATTATTCCTTGTCTGGCCTTTGGGTGCTTTGGAAAATTGCTTGACCCCTTCCTCCCTGTGGCAGCCCCTCAAATATTGGAACACTGCTGTCGTGTGTCCCCTGGACCTTCTCTTCACTAGACTAGCCATGCCCAGTTCCTGTAACCGTTCTTCATATGTTTTAGTCTCCAAGTCCCCCAATCATCCTGGGTGCTCTTCTCTGCACTTTTTCTAGTCTCAATATCTTTTTTATAGTGTGGCGACCAAAACTGGACCTATAACATAAAGTAAGAAGTGGACTGAAAGTGCCTTTGAAGCAGAACTGAGAATTCCTACTCATCCACCCCAATGCAATTCTTTGAAGAATTATGTTGATTCCTGTGTGTCCTCCAAAAAGTAGGGTCAGATCCTGGAGAACAGTTCATTAGTCTCAATTAGTCCCAGAAGAATTTAGAGACGTAGATTTGCTACAAATTCCCCAACTTTGCAGCTTTTATAATCCAAACTGATAATGAAATTAAAATAGACAAATGTGGAGTGCCCTGTCCTCACAAGCTACTTTGAGGAAAAATAAATCCCTATTATGTACTGTATATGTATCAGATAGATAGCATTGATTGCTATCCTAGGAAAGCATCAGATCTGAAGTTATGTAACGTAACTTTAAATAGAGTCATATTGAAGTCCTGGTGACTTAAAACATAGCCATGTAGTGTTATTAGCAAAAATATAAAATTGCTTTGTCATGGCCTCCTTCGGGGGATGTTTATTAAACTCCCAAGTCCGGTGGAGAGCACAGGTATTCCCTGACCCTGCTTAGCTTTTAAGATCAAACAAGGTTGGCCTTGTGCTGCCAGCTGCCAAGTAGGATTTTATTCTAGCAACTAACTTTGTAAGGGTAGAAGATATTACATTGGCCCCATTTTGAATGGCTAATAATTAAGATTTGCACATACATGAACAGATTTCTACTGAGTTTTGTTATGAATAGCATTCCCTTGATTCCGCTATGTAGAGATATATCTCTTCAGGAGGATTTACTAGTCTTGAAGTCAGCATAGCATCTACTTGGACTTGGACCATTTAATATTAGGCTGACTTCTTACAGATTTTAAAAGCAATACAAAGCACATGCAAGTGAATTGGCTCCCGCATTTGGCATGTATTACAAGTAGTGGAGACTGTACTTTAAGATGAGGCATATGTATCTTATATTTGATAAACACTGGCTTTGCTGAAACAGCTAAGTTACTACAAATTTGCAAAAATCAAGACAGAGGAAGAGTGTAAAAGTATTTAAAGCACAAACTGGGACTTGGAGGCCAGATAATACATCAATACAAGCAATTGTCACTTAATCTGTCTGTTAGGAAAAAACAGAGCAGGGAGCATATATAATGGTCATTGGGACATACAGGCATAGATAAGAGAGAACCAATTTCCAGTGCCAACATCATGCTAAACATAAGGGGGTAGCAATGGGGAGAGTTCTACTTGCCCCCTGGACATTTTAAAACAGTGTAGTCAAATAGTTGCTGCTTGGATGACTTTGACAAAAGTGTCAGCCTCAGGGGAAACATTCGTAATTCAAAACAATGAACCAGGGAAGACTAAAACTCAGAAATGAGTTCTATCAACATGCTGAGCTCTTAAGAGAATGAAGGGCAAAGCGCCTGTTTTCACAGACAAAACCTAGTTTTCATTTCGTGCACCTCATGAGGCAACCTTGTACCTGGCCTGTATAATTGCAAGGAGGTATTGTGTGGTTAAAGGGGGGGGGAGCTTGGAGCAGCTTTTTAAAATGCTAGGGTGGATTGACTCTTTCGGGTAAGGGACAACTATTGCTTCTTTATTTCCCAGGCCTTTCAGAGGACAGAAACTAGACAACCCAATAATATATATGCACGTGTATCCTCTTCAATATTTATTTTACGAGGCTGTGATTATTCTAGTTTGAGGATAGTCTACGTCACTCCAGTTACTGTATCTTCCATAATAATTTAAGCTGTCTTCTAGAGCAGAGATGAAGTTTGTGACAAATCAAGTCATTAAGGGGTGTCTTTGCACCAAATGACGATATTCTAACATTCTCTTGATGCACCTTGCTAAAAAAAAAAAAAAGGAATTGTGTGCAAATTTAAAGAAGCATAATTACTGTGTCGCATAAATGTACATCTCTGAGAGACATAAATGTGCCTCTCCTATACAAAACTGGCCAAAGTGAGAAAAAAGCCTTCTGGTTGCAAAATACACAAACAGGAATATGATGTAATATGCATATTTATACCGCAACCAAGAAAAGTTGGATTGTTTAACAGATCCTGTGACAATCAGCACAATTACTGCTGGAGCTTCAACTGTAGTAAAGGAAGATGACAGTGACATTGAGATGAAATTTAGCATCTTGAAAATTTAAAGGCAAGAAGGAAGGGTTCCAGAGAAACCCTCCTAGCAAACGTATTCTAGCATTTTTCACAAGCCCTACCATGTAAATGGTGATCCTGGGAAAGACATGTCACGCAAACCCTTTTGATATGCTGACATCCTTTTCAGAGTTTCAGGGATACATAAACCTGATGCTTCAAGCTGAATCGACACACAGCATGAACAGCCAAATCTATGAACAGCTGCGAACGTTAACGGCAAGCCACTTTCTCTCCTTTATTACTGCATCTTAATTAGCCAAACAAAATTTGCCAGTAAAAAAAGATTCATCACACGGTACTTTATACATATATTTGTAAGCAACCAAGCATTCACAGCTGCAAAAGTAACATACCCCTAAGCATTGCCCCGATATGACAGCTCCATCGGTTTTAAATACTGTACAGAATCAAGTCTATAAAGTTTAGTAATATTTCTTTTCCCTTTCCCTCCCCAGCACTTAACAGATAGATTTTAATTTATACATCACAATCATGTGGCCCATCTCAAGACTAACAATATGCCTCATGCTTTGGCTTCTTGGTGTGCATGTATAAGCGCCTGTCTCTTTGAAAGTCTCTTCACTCTGGATTACAGACATACACCCAAAAGTTACACGGCTGCAATATGCCCAGTGGCAACTGCATAATCTAGAGCTTCACATTATTCAATAGCTAAAGGGGGGGAGGGGGGATGTAAACTTTTGTGCATGCCACTGGTAAGGGCAAAGAACAGCAAGGATAAAAGGGACAGTGCTGGAGGATGTAAAAGATGTCAGCAGGTTCCAAGGAAGGAAGAATAAGCAAAATCTTCCGCAGAGGCAGAATGCTAACAATTCAGATAAGTCCTTCATTGTGTTTTGAGAAAAGGTAGCTCTCCTGTAGCTTGCATAATTAACGTTTTTGTGGCTCCTCTCACCTTATTAAAGCATGTCTTGGAACCAACCGGGCAGTTTACATGATTACGATTTGGAAAAAGGCAGGCTTTTGAAAAGGGTCGTTAGCGACAGGCAGCTGCTTAATTCTCTCTGGGGAAGGCGATGTACCATTATTTCATCTGGGTAAGAAATCTGACAATACCTCAGAACAGAATTGCCCTTCTACAATGGTGGGCCTGATAGTGCAGGCAACAGGTAAATTCTATCCCTGACCTCATCTGATGACTATATCAATCTAACTACTCTGAATTTTTATTAAGTTGGGCTCTTTTCCCAGTCATCATTGCTTGGGCTGTGATAGCTTGCCTGCTGCAAGCTCTTAAAAACACAGAAATGCAGTTTCTCAAATGTTACTCTCCAATACTAAAATAATTCATTCACTGTATTCCAAGCCAACACAAGACTTGTGTCATCTCCCTCAATGTTCTCCAAGTGGATTATTCTCTTGGGAGGGCGACTAAGAGAGACCTCTAGGTTGTTATCAGAGTAGGAATAATAAAGGTAAATAAATGTGAAGCCATGCAAAGATGGAGGAAGCACCAAATGAAAAATAGAAGGCAACTCTGTTTTGAATGCAGGAATGTGGACAACCAACTGAAATTTGTTGGAAGCATGCATCTTCACTCCCCTGCAACCACTCCGTCACAATACCATTCTTGGAAATGGCTAAAGCAAATGATACAGAATCTGGGAACCCTGAATAATATTAATGAAAAGGATGTGATTTTATTTAAAGATGCTTGATTAGAGACCCACTGTCTACCAGAATGTAGACTTTGTTGCTGCAGAGTTGATATGAATCCATGGAGATATAGAGTCAGGCAGAGTTGCCACTTTGCAAGCACATAGGTGAAAGCAGAAATTCAGAAATTATGGTTTGCACCATGCGATATTTAGAGTATCATCCTGAGGTACCTTAATGTTCATAGTTAATTGTATAATGTTCGTGTATCCAAGAGAACAGTGAACTATGCTATATGCACTATTCCTCTTCAAGGCAAAGTGGAACAAGATATGCTATTGTACACTTAAGACAGTCCAAAAATTCCAAGTGCTCATCTCAACAAGTACAGCTTGCCTTGCGCTTACTTGCTCCTCATGATTAGAGATTAAGCAATTAAGGAAAGCAAGCTGCTTACATTTATCATTTGGTGGCTTTTGTACACCACGTCCCCTCAGTTCCAATAGATATAGTCAACACTGAAAATAACTAAGAATGTTGCAGAGAATTTGTGTCCTTCTAATCAACAGACTTTAGTGAAGTTAGGTCAGGCAGTAGAAGAAAAGTGCACCATTACATTTTCCAATTAGATACTGAATAAGGATCTTTCAGGATTTAATCAACGGGAGTCCCCATTTTCAGCAATATCCACAGCACCCAAGAACTCAAACAAGGAACGGGTTGTCACTTCATTGACTAGGGAGCTGAAAGATCCAAACCCAACTTCACTTAAGTTCTGAAATGGAAAGACCACAGCACCTCTCTTCACAGAATCAAGCCCCAAGGGGGAACGTCATTTGTGTGAGAAGGGATGGGTGGGTGGGTGGAGGGAAGTGATTTTGTGTGTGTGTGCTCTATCATCCTGTGCATCTGGAATGTGATTAAAAAGACAGCCTGAAATGAGTTATGGAATTCTGCTTCTCTATAACAAAACCAAGCCAAGGAGGAAGGGGTGCAGTGAGCCAATCTATTTATTGTTAACAACTTTTGCTAGGTTCTTCCTCCGTGTCCCCCTATCTTTCTGTGTGCCTGTCTGTCCCTAACTTGGATTTTTAAATTTTATTTATCTTCTGTCCACTCGGGGATACTAGCCTCCACTAAGGCAGCCCGGTACTGCTGCAAGACACCACGGATGCTTTTTATGAACCCTTTAGACAATGGAAACAGGGGGAACCCAATATCAGGGTAGCCACTCCTCTCAGGGAGAAAGCTCCTGTAGCTCTTTCTCCTTTTCTTTGGTTTCACACTTGGCTGAGCAGCAAAGTCCTGAGTGGCTTTACCCTCATCTGTTACGTCTCTGGCAAAATGTGCTTCTCTGGCCTGGCCCATGCTCTCAGAGTCTGAACATTGATGGGTGTCACTAGCAGCCACTGTTGACATTCCACAACCGGAGTCTTCCAGCTCCTCCTTGCCATCAGAGAGTTGGCTAGCTGCTCCAGCAGCCCCTAACTCTTGCTCTCCCAATGGCCCCATACTGTCTACAGGACTCTCAGCCAGAATGCCTCCTGCTGAATGCGCAAAGGAAGACTCTGCCAGACCGACGTGATCATGGCTCCTCTCCACCAGTTCATTGGTCTCCACCCAGGACTCAATACGGTGGATCAGGCGCCAACCATTACAGCAGAAATGCTCATAGATCTCTTGCTCAAAGACTTCTATGGGCTTGCGCAGCAGTTGCATCATTGACTGCACCACACGGATCAAAGCCATTTCATTGTAGCATCGGCTGTTTTCGTAGCCCTCTTGTAAGCCCCGGTCACTGTCAAAACCAGCCTCATTGTAATAAGGCTCATTGACTAGGATAAGTCCTAGTAGTAAAAAAAAAAGTGGGAAGGGGAAAGGAAGGTAGAAAATAGTGGGAGAAATAAGGTATTTAGTACATGTATAATTTGGAAACGTACAGTGCATGCCAACAGAATGTGTTTTACTTAAAAATGTAATTGGAAAAGAAACATGATATACAAATGCATTAGGATAATGAACATACTAGAAGATAAAAGTGAGAATTCTGTTTTGGAAAACTGTATTTTTCAGACTATTTTAAAATATTTTTTTTAGTTAGGGTTGGAAATCAAAGTAATCTTCACTTAAAACGCAATTGTTCCAAATTTGAATTATTAATCCCAATTTAGTGAGTATTATTATTCTGTGTTGAACTCAACCATGGAAGCATTTGATGAAAAATCATTACAATACAATAATCTCTCCAGGATTTTGGAAAATGACAAAATGTTCCCTTTTTGGAGATGTTTGAGGAGAAAAAAAATTCTATGAAAAGGAATGAAGGAGAGAACTCCAAATGCTTTTTGAAAAGGCTATTTTAATATGAAGGTCATTAAGTTTTGGACTAATGCTTTCTTACTTTTAATTTTTCAAAGTACTTCTAAGAAAAGGCCCGACCGAACCTTATAGGTTCTCTTTATACCAAGTCAGATGTTCAAATTAATGCCTTCCATTGTTAAACAGAACTAGGTAATTTAGTCACCCTCTTAATGAGGAATTGCCTTTTTTTTAAATAAAAAAAAAAAATCAAACTCCCCTAACTTGTCTATCACAGAAGGTCACTCTACAGATGTGCCATATACATGGATAAACCATTGTACAGTTCCTTTCATAAGAAACACGCCTGCTGTTTTCTAAGCATACAATAATGTCTGAATCTCTGTTTTTACTGTTAACCATTTTGTTATTAATATAGTTTATAGATGACAGGCTAACAATTTGCAAGTAGATTTAGTAGTTTAACTGTCTGAAAGTTTTTTGGCCTGTTTCGCAGGGGGTGGTAAACTAATATTGTTATATTAATCAGAATGCAACTAGGGAGGACATAAGGTGTATATGCATTAGTTTTAGGGTTTTTTAAAAAAACAAACATTTAAAAACAATATTTTAGTGTTTTGTTATTTTAAAACCTTTTGAATAAACTAAAAATCATGGGGGGAAAAAACATCTGAAGATTTATAGCATATGCAAAAGGTGTTCCAATCTGCTCCTTGCATTCAATCTGCTTGTTCCAATCTGCTCCTTGCGTCTAGGGTTCTCAATTACATCTAAGTGCTGCACTGCCTTTTTACAGAAATTAACTGAACAGCTGCCAAGAATGGCAGTGATGGAGCATCTATAAATAGCAAAATAAAAAATAAAAAAAATAAAAAATCTTGGCATTTCTTTGTTTTTAACCACAAGCTCAGGGAGCTACCTGCTACTAATTCTCCATATTGGCAGCTACCCCACTGGTGACTGTGGCTTTGCCTTTAGAGCATGAAATAAATAGCCATTGATATCCTTGTTCTTGGGCAAGAAAAACAATCCACAGTTTGGCTAGCCAGAAAACAACCTTTTTCTGTCTACTGCAGTAGGTTTTGACCCAATCTTTCCTTTTACCATCTTACTGGAATTTACCTTGGATTGAGATGAGCACCTGGAGAAGGCTAGATTTACTGGTCCATCTCTCTGTGCCCTGGAATAATCAAATAGCAGGAAGCAGTTAATTCAACAGCAAAGACACTACATAGCATTAAATTGCAGTCACAGCAACTTTTAAGAACAAGGCATTTGCAATGATCCATGCTCTGTTGACTTCCATTCCTATCACAACTTTACTGTTCATATGAATGATGTGAATGTTTTTGTATCTAGAGATTCTGGGTAAAACACATTTTTGGGGTGGGGATAGCATATATACTTTTCTTTACATCTCTAATAAAAAAAAATAATGTACTGAAAGATACGGTTCTATTATATGCTCACTTAAAGACAAAAGAAGTTTAATCCAACTGGAAAACCAGTAATAAAAATGAAGGTGCTATAAGGAGCACACATAGAATATATTTTAAAACAATTTTCTATTATGGGAACAGAGTTTGGTGATAAGCATTCATACAATTTTTATGAGGGAGTAGGTGGAGGGAAGAGCATTTCCGAAGGAAAAAAACCTCTGAAATGAGTTGTGAAGAAATTCTTTCTAACAACAGATGTTAGTTTCATTTGCTATGTTGAGTTTATATTTTGTCTGAACCAAAGTAGTGACCATTATGACAACTAGATTCCAAATGTATGGGTCCTGCAGTAGGTTTTTTTAAACAGCTAGTAGCTGTTAAACCATGCACACCATATACTTGGACAATATTGTGGATTAGAACAGTATCTTCGAACAGCAGATACAGTAAGCCACCTGCTTGACTTAAATCATTAAAGAAAGCATTGCAATTCCATGCAGTTTTGTAATATGATACTGAATAATGCAGATCAAGAGTACTACAGTAAATATCAGCAGCAGTTGTTACCTTGCCTATCCAAGTACCCAGAAGGCTTACGCAAACCTTTCCGTTGTCGTACAAATTGGGATTCAGTCTGCCACTGCACTGGGAGAGGTAACGGAAGAGTGGGGGCACAGCTGGATAGATATTGGGGAGTTGGATGTCAAATAAAAAGAGGCCATCTTCGTACGGTGTGCGCGTAGGTCCTTTGACTAGTGCTGAGAAGAGATCCTGTGGAGAGGCTATGTGTAAGTCCATGCAATAATCCATAAAGAGGAACCAGAGCTCACTAAAAAATGTTACACCCGATGCTTTTAAGAAAATGCACAAAAACATCCTGTTTGGTTTCATATCAACATGCTTAGTATATACCCCAATAATTCATGACAGACCAAACTTTGACTAAATGTTCAGAAAAATTCCTCAAAGAAAATCTCTGTTCTACTAAATTGGTTTGTTCCACATTTGCTGAGTAACACAGAAATATTAGCCCATACCAGATAAAAATACTGCTATTACACAAACTCAGATTATATATTATCTTGCTAAGACTAAACAGATAAGAAACCTGTACAAAGTCTCTATGAGATAGAGATACCTTATATCTACACCTCCTTTAATTCCATAATAGAAGGATATAAATGCAACAAATTACACTGGACAAGTTGTTGGTACCTTCTCAGAAAAAATACAGCCACATTCATTCAACAAATGATAAAGTTCTGCTACATTTAATAGCTACGTACCAAGCAATATTAATGTTATATTGGCAAAGTTATTGAATTAACTCCTCTTACTCATATATACACACTCAGGTGTTTATTTACAATCTTTAGGAAAATACAAAACAAATGTAGTTCTTAGTTTTAATTAACTGCTAAAAGAAAAAATGAATTAGCGATTTTTTTTCTTGGTGTAAAAAACCATTTTTTTCATTAAGAAATAACTTATAACAGAAATATCATTCTTTTAAAGAATAAAATTATATATATATATATATATTTTTAGAAATTTGCATCTAGGAACAATTTTAAAACACAAAGTATATCTTTCTTTATGGACTGTGAAGTTCATGTACGAAGGTTTACATGATTTACCATTCTGTCTTCAAATGTTTTGACCATGATACCATCTGGCAATGAAGTTGCTAACAAAGCCATTTCTTTCCTCACTGTGCTGAAAAATTTCTTGGCTTCTGGAGGCTGAAACTCCATCTTCTTAAAGGCATGGCTATCTAATGGGGGCAATAAATAAATAAATTGGGGTAGCAGATTACCAAATTTTTCATGTTCTCCTTTGTTCCTAACATTTGCTAGAAACTTATTTAAACAATAGGGTTAGTAAAATAGACAAAAATAACTCTGATATGTTATTCTTGTAAATATAAAACAGCACTAAATTTACTAAGAAATAAGGTAATTATTAACAAATATTGTCAGAGTGCTCAAATGATGCTTGTATTAAAAAACACTATCTAGCCTGATCAGAGACCACTAATTTTATTGAAGATTGTTGAACTGAATTCACTACTGTAAAGGCTCCATATAAGACCAGATAAAGTTATAAGAAGAGAGATACACAGAGAAAAAAATGAGAAAGGGGTCAAGAATAAGAGTCCAGATATAGACCTAACATTATATTTTACACCTGGCTCATATATTTAGAAAGAATGGGGGGCCACTATAACTTATTTTCAAACACTGGTCCCAATAAAACAGAATTATGAATTTAGGGCTTTCCAGAAATTGCTGGACTTCCATTTCCCTGACACAGGCCTTGCTAAATGGAGCTAATAGATTGCAATATTATCAGAATGCCCTAAAGTCTATCCTTAGTCCCACTTTAAAAACTGACCTGGAGCACCCTCTAACACCGAGAAGACTTCTCCCTTGGCACTGGTGAAGGTAACACCAGGCTTGCCTCCACTCTGCTGACATAGCACTGGTGTTTCGCTGGGCCATTCTGATGCCACTGGTGTCTGTGTCTGAACTTCTCTCTCTTCTTTCTTCTCTGCCTCTGCCATTGCCTCCATCTTTTCTTCTTCCACAATAGCTACGTTGTCCAGAGTTTTCTTCAGATTCTCCTGCAGCTTCTTTATATCATCTAGAAACTTCTTTTCCCGAGTAGGCTTTTCTGGCTCAACTGTGGGAGAGGTTGGGTAGCCTGTCAGCAGTTGTTCAACTGTCATATTCTTTAAACTTTCCAAAATCTTGATGGCCTCCTTCAACTCTCGGAAACTCTTTGGGGTTCCTTCCTTGCCCGATTTATCTGTTGTTAGATCAGCCACAGCCATTGCCACAGCACCTTGTACTTGTTCTTCTACCTTTTTCACCTCTTCTACAGGTAGTTCCTCAGGTTCAACTTCTTCAATTTTTGTGTGGTCATCTTCCATGAGACCATTATCTGTCTCCCAGCTATCACTCTCATCCTCCCATTCATCTGAAGAAGCACAACTAGTGCTACCATCTATGGAATCAAGGTCTGTCTCTTCATCCATTTCAGATTCTATATTGTACAAGTGCTAGAAGGCAGAATGAAAAAGAGCGAGAGACTCAGCAAAACACACAATCCATTTCATGATAATGTAGTCTGATTTTCCTATTTTAAAAGGGATCAATTAATTGCAAACACAGAGTTCCTTAAGATGGACTACTATATATTTTTAAAATAATCAAATCCTTTAAATAAATAAATAAATAAATTTTTTAAACAAACTAACGAACATTTCTCCATTTATGGAATACCTCAAAGGCTGAACTCTCGCTAGGAAGCAGACCCTACACAATTCATAAATCTGGAATGCTGAACCAGCAATTATCTCTGGAATCAAGGGGATCCTGTAGCTATTTGAAAAGATACTAACTGGTGCTGAGAGCTTCCAACGGATCAGAAAGCAATGTGGATTATTTTAGACTGAAGTCCCCAAGGTAGCTGTAACATTATTTTAATTATCTTTATGCTATTTAACTTCACCTTTGCTATTTCTGCTAAGCTGCATGTTTCATAAGACAGTTAAGAGAAGGAAATCCCTGAATTAATTCATAATGCCCGTTACCTTTTCCTCAGACATTGCTCTGTCAGTAATAGTCAATCTGAATAATCTTTAGTTCCTTACCTCACCACTACAGAGCATAAGGAGTTAATGCCCTTGATTTTTTAAGGAATGACGATTTTTCTGGCATTTTTCTGCATTTTCTTTGTACTGTCCTTCAGGCTATCATACACCCACTCTCCCACTTTCAAGGCTCAATAGATTTCGATAAAATGCAAGTCTATACATTTTTATAAAATGTACACACATCCTTCAGCATATAGGCTTATACAGGATTATGACATTTATTCTATAGGACAAATAGAGTCATGGAAACAGGGGAAACATTTTTATCTTAAACAATACACCTTGTAATGCAGAATTGCACAGACAGCTTGCCTTCACGGAAGGTCCCTCCATATGATATGATCCTGTGTGACAAGAGCAGGATGGGATATACCAGAGGGCTTTGTATCATAGAGCTACAGTTCCAGCACTGGTGACTATAATTAAAGGGGAACTGCTCTATTTAAGAAAAGGAAGCCTTGAATGTTAAGGATTTAATAGGCTAAGCAAGAGCACTTTACTTGTTTTAGTAGCTGCTGTGCTATAATGAAATAAAAAGATAGAATCAAACTACAATATTTAAAATAGGCTAATGATCACTATTTTTGTTTTTGAGACAAATGCAGAAGTTCCGTAAAAGACATATTTACCAGAGTAATAGGCCTCAAAGACTGCATTAAACATCTTTAAAAATAACAGACCACATTTAGATTCCAAGAATATAGCAACTATATAACAGCATAAACTCCTGGGGAGTTAAGATCTGATTACTAAAAAAAAAAAAAAAATCACAGCAGCAAAATCAGAGCAAACTGTTCTTATTACACAGTGATACTGAGATGCCAACAGAATTAGCGTAATGAACTAACAGAGCAATTTCTCATATATTCTAGAAAATTCCAATATATAGAAACCACTTAATAAAAAGGAGATAACTAATACCTTACATCAACTGGAAGCAGCTAATTATTTACCTGCGGCAGAACAATTGTCCTGGAATTATCTGCCCATACAACTTCTACTTTACTGCTGAAATCCACTCGGGCCACCTGTCCAACAGAGGGCTAAAGAAACAAAAGCAACCATTATTTTTCTTATAATCTACATCCTACCTTTTTATAACCATCCAAGTAAGGTAATCAAGGTAGCTGAGCACACAATAAAAATGTAATTTTTAAAGCTATGTCATTAAACTTAACAAAAGCACAAATTCTAATGCTAAAATAATCCTTACATCAATTCAAATGGCCAGGTTAAAGAGGCCTATTTTTGAGATTAAAAAAGATTTGGCCGAAGCCTCTCAACTCCAATGCTTTGTTCCTCCTGGGGCTGCCGTATCTTTACAGAATTTGAACACGAGAGCACGGCTATTGAAAATCATATGGAGTTTCTAATTATCAAGGCAAATTCTGATAGAATGTTGTCTGTTCCACTTCCAAGTTTTACCACAGGGTAAACTGGTAGACAGAGCAAAAAGAAAGAGACATACTGGGTCAACAAAATTAATCTGAAACAAACAGCACATGATGGATGCTTATTGCCAGATGACAATCTGATATTTAGAACTATCTGGCATTAAGAACATAGAATCTTTGAGATGGAGATTTACCTTTGTAGTGTAATTATGTTGCACCAAAAAAGTGATTATTGGCAAGGATAGTTAACTTTCATTCCCTATAATTCTGCATTCTCCATACCCCACATATTCTTTCCCTTTGGTAGTTGCTTTCAAATGAGTTCCAATCTTTATCATTCAATTTTATTTCTCCAATTAAAATTACTGCCAGTTACAATGCTTACCTCCTCTCTGCACATTTGTACATAACTGGGAGAGTGGGTCATGTATCATTGATTTTCTCCAGGTGGGGAAAAAAACTTTTCTCTTTGAGACATTTAAGAAGAAAGTATTTCTGATAAGAAATTGAGAATCTGAGCAGCACACCTACTCAAGAGGAAGATGGTCCCTTAAAAAGGGAATCTAGACAGGCAGATAAAAATCCTAGGCTGCTGGTTTGAGCTCTGAAGTTGGCAATTTGGTTGCAAACGTTTGTCAGTGCATTTTGAATTGAGATAAAAACCCCTGGCCAGGCAGGAACCTTATCTCTAACTTCTGGAATCATAATTATTGCCTTTTTCAGGTAAATGATAAACAGGACCAAGAATATTGTACAGCCAGAGAAATTAAGACTGCAACAGCCACCATAACCATTACTACTAGGAAGATTGCATATACAACATGCTTTCTAAATTAATCTCAAAGGCAGTGGAGCATATTTTTAAAAATCCTTTCCACTGTCACAACTCTGCCTCCCTTTGGAGAAAATAAATTTCAACTACTGTACAATGCTGTATTTGAAAAGCTTGCCACCTAGTGGTGGTTTAGAAACTGAGATTTGAGCCTTACAGTTCTCAAGTTTCCAGCTTTCATAGAAAGTAGGTAGAATCTTCCCAATTTATATTTGATTGAAGGACTGAAGGAATGTGAACAAAGGCTTCAGATGATCCATGCCAAGGCCAAATATGTATTCTAATTAGAAGTAGTTTGGAGGAAATGGAGAGTGGGAGAAAGTCAAGGACATCTGGCATGTGTAGGCTGGCTAACAAGGAAGGAAATGGCTGGGAATAATTGCACAGGCAAAGTTCTAGTTGAATATACCAATGGTCGCCAACCGGTGGGCCACGGCCCACTGGTGGCCGGTGAGAAAATTTTGGGGGGCCGCAGAGACATCTCACCCCCAGAGCACCCTTCCAAAGCAATTAATCCAGGCCGCACAGAAACACAAGGCTGTGCCGCCCACATGGCCCGTGGGAATTCTCCCCGCCCACTCACTCCTTACTTTGCAAACTTGCCTGCTAAATTTCTATTTTTCCTTTTTCCGACCATCATCTGTTCTGCTGTGCCGGGAGATTTAGATTAGCTAGGAAGCAGGAAATGGTTGGATTTCTTGCTTTCTAGCTAGTCTTTAGATCTTCGGCTCTGCTTTTAAGTACAGCGAACCTTCCTTAGGACTGAAGGTTTGCTTGCAAGCAAACTCACGGCAAGCAAATTTGAGAGACTGAGCTAGCCGATGGCAGATAGATGAATGATTCTGTGAGCAACTCAATCTGCCTGCTTTGCCTGATTTTGAGTAAAAGTTGCTCTTTTTTTTTTTTTAATAAAAATTCAATATTTACATACAAGGTGTGTTGTGAGTTAATTTTATGAGTTTGCTTGCTAGCAAATTTTATGAGTTTGCTTGCAAGCAAATTTTATGAGTTTGCTTGCAAGCAAATTTTATGTGACACACTGAGCTAGCCAATGGCAGATAGACTTCTGAATGAATCTGTGATTGTGTGAGCAACTCAATCTGCCTACCTGCTTTGCCTGATTTGGGGTAAAAGTTGCTCTTTTTTATAAAAATATCAATATTTATATAAATATTTATGTTTACATACAAGCCATGCCCAGCCAGTCACATGACCACCAAGCCACATCCACAAATTAGGCTACACCCGCAGAACCAGTTAGTGGTCCTTGGGATCTAAAATTATGAGTTTGGTGGTCCCTGAGATCCAAAAGGTTGGCAACCCCTGGAATATACCATACCTGAATCCAAAGGTAAAGGTAAGGGATGAAAGGAATGGGAAGACTGGTGGCACAGACTGCCCATTCAGAAGAGGAGACAAGAAGAAATGATTTGTATCAGCCTTTTCCTACTTGCCCCCAGGACCTTCTGAATGTTGTTTCAGCCAAAATCTGGATAGTTACTGAATTATAGGTCACCTAGCACACCTCAGTAGAAGCTCTAAAACTCAGGATAATTGTTCCAAATTTAAAATGAAACACAATTACTATTTTGTGTATAAACCTAGTAGGGCTACGAATTTAACCAGAAATCAGACTTTAAAAAGTTGTCCAATAGAAAGTTATACTTGAAGCCTTCATTATTATTAATATGAAACTGACCATACAATTTCGTTACTAAAGAAAGTAATTACAAAAATAAAACTGGTCTGTTGGGCTTGTTGCTCAAACTCAATGAAAGTTTTAACATTTTGCAGCCATTTGAACTTCTTTTGGTGGTAATCAGCAATTGGTTCTGCTACAAAAGTAAGAAGTCTTTTTTATGGATATATGTGAAGAGGTTATCCCCTTGTATAAAGCACACAGCATTTATTTCCGCTAGAAAAAGCATTAGATGCAAGCCCAAATGCCATTGAGTTCAAAACAGAAGACTGTAAACAGAGATAACTGGTCCAACACCTCACTTTTTTCCAGGTCATAGTTCTCACAAATTGTATCAAAAACATACTTTACCACTCACCTCATTTTCACCAATCGAAGCACCATCCTCAGCATTGCCAATGCGGATTACAAAGTCAGTTGTACGGAAGCGGAAGTCTGGGTGATCGGCAATGTCATACACGCTGACATCCTCCTCCTCCCCAATCAGCTGAAAATGATCACACAAAGATAAAGGTTGGTTCATGCACAGTCTCCAAGTTAAAAAATCTTCTGATTCAACCTTGTGTTCCTTTCTTATGTGCTGCTGTTATGTAATGACCTGCATAATATTTAAGAGTCTTTTAAAGAACAGGTAACCACTCCTAAATCTACCCTCTCAGAATGTGACTGGCATCAAAAAGAGCTCATTTGACAGTGCCATTCCCCTCCTTTTTGGGGGGATACCTGTTGCTAAAAGATATCCCCCTCCCCCAAAGGACATAAAGCTTATGTGTGGTTTATACTGAGCTATCAGAAAATGAGGAAGCTTTTCACCTCAAGCACTCAACAGCTGAACAAGACATACTGTACATAACGTATTTACCTAGCCTTGTGCTTAGCATGTTACTGCTTAATATTGATTCTGGAGATGTCTGGTAAGGTTCTCTACATGGATCTTTATTGTGTAAGAATGTATATTATGTTATAAGCATCATCTACACACATTAATTCAGAGCTGCATTTTCTTCCAGACTGAATTTTATGGACATTTGAAGGTTATCTAAATACAAAGTTTGATAATGATGATTATGCCTTTGAATCAGTTTTAACTCCTAATGAGTGCCTGGACTAGTTCTTGCAGTTTTCTTGGCCAGGTTTTTCAGAAGAAGTTGACCTTCCCTCCCTTCCTAGGGCTGATAAAATGACTGGCTCAAGGTCACCCAGCTGGCTTTGTGTAGTTTCTAGCCTAGATAAATTGAAAATATTCTTCCCCCAAAATGTTTTGACATTTGGATAGTTTTTTGTTTAACTCTTATAATTAAATCTTAGCTTAGCTTAATTTAGTGAAAAACCAAAGCTAGATCCTCTCAGGAGACAGACTCAATATCAACAGAGCCAGTAGAATATTGGGCACATTTATGTACACATTCTGCTTTTCATCCAAAGCTCAGAATGAAAATTTTCCTCAGGAAATTTAAAAAAAAACCATTTAGTAAAGCAAAATTTGATTCCAGAGGCCAAGAGAAGAAAACAAAACAAAACAATCACAGCCTTTATTTCTTACCTCCACATCATCTCCACTAGGTCTCAGCTTGAACCATTTCACCACACAGGTGCGACCAACATGGTCGCCTGACTGCACCACTCCGTACATACCAGGATCCTGAGAACTCTGAGCTATTTAGGATTGAAGAAAGAAGCATATTCTATAGTAAGGGGAAATGATGCACTATAATTCTGTTTCTTTATTATTCTAAGAAGTATCTGATACTTGTTTTTTCTTGATTTATACTTTATTGCTGATGATGAATTAAAAATAATAATAGAAAAACCAAGCTTGGTTGGCTTTGACAGCTAATCAAACTTCTTCTTGTCATAATTGTGTCAGTCCCTGATGGCTCCATTATACTGAACCTGAGAGCGAGTGCAACTGTGAGGGGTGAGCCCCTGCCAGCCCCAACTCAAGCTTAGAGAGGGGTGGATTCACATTTCCACTGTGCAATGAGCAGAAAGCGGCATGGGATTTCTCAGTTTTCCAAGTTCCTCTAAGGTATTGTTTGCAGCCATCTGCTAACATGGTTTTTAAAATAATGAAAGCACGAAGGAAAAACATGAAGATTCACCTTATTTAAATCAATGTACTTATTAAAGTACATGTACTTTAACATGTTTTGTTCATTATTAAAAATTGGCCTAACTTAAATTCACTCTAGGAAAATTGGTTCTGCAGGGAAGAATACATATTTAATATAAAAATATTTTGTATTATATATATATATATACATATATACAGGGATGGGCTTCAAATGACTTAACAACCAGTTCTTTGCAGAGTTGCTGGATGGGCATGGCCTAGTTGGCCTCCTGCACCACCCTGGTTGCAAAAATGGGCCGCAGGGGAGGGGGCATTTTCACCCTCCCTGGGCTTTGGAGGCTTTCCTCGAGCCTCCGGGAAGGCGAAAACGGCCTCCCCGGGCTCCGGAGGCTGTGGACTGGGAGACCTGTTTTTCGCCCTCTCCAAGCCTCCGCATGGGCCCTGCACTTACCTGCGATCCAAAATGCGCTGCGTGGGGACTCCCGGGAGGGGCGGGACAGGGTGGGCGGGGTCAGCCAGTAGTGGGATTTTCCGGTTCGCTGAACTGGCCATAAAATTAACAACCGGTTCACCCGAACCGGTAAAAACCGGTAGTAGCCCACCCCTACACACACACACACACACACACCATTATATATAGTATATAGAGGGAGTTATATATATATAGATGATAGATAAAAACTTTATAATATGCCAAAATTAAATTATTCAGGTAATTTTATAAAACAATTGTTCTCAGAATCTCCTAGACAGTATTTTGGGATGGCACCTTCCTCTGACCTTGAGTGGTAGGAGAATTTAGAGTATTTTATACATACACTAAAATAATATAGTCCTTAAACTACCGTATTTAAATCCAGTATTTTACTAGTCAATACTTTCAGAAGGAAATTATACTTCTGACTTAAAATAACCTCTGAAAACTATGTATTAAATTACTGAAACCTTGCTAAAAATCCAAGTACAAAAGAAACACACATTTCTGTTTTGTGGGAACACTACAATTTCTAGAACAATTTATAAAAGATTCAGATTGTGGACCTTTTTTTTGTTGACTTTCAATAACCGGCAGCTTCCCAAAATTTCTTTTGCTAAAAACTTGATCCACCAGTAAGTCAGATGACTACTACAAGAGAACATCTGGACTGAAAGCAAACAGCATGTTCATTTTTTTTTGTTCTTGTTCATATATTTTAAGAAAAATTTTGAGAGACAGAAAAGCAGTGTTCTACTTAATGAGAGATCCTACTCCAATAATATAGAAAAGGGCTACATTCTGACATTTAAAAAATCCTAAAATTGCTATTCTGTAAACTAGTGAGATTCAAGAAATCAGCAGTTTCCATGGCATGGCACAGCAGATTGCCATGCGTCAGCTGCCAAGTGACAGGGAGAATGCAGGATTGCAGGAGGTGAGTCATAAAGCCTCTGTACCTGCGCAAAGTGCACGTTTGGTGCGCACGCAAAGTGTGACTGTGCAAAGTGCGCCCACCAAGCCACGCCCACCGAACCGGTAGTAAACTTTTTTGAAACGCACCACTGGTCTAACTGACTTGGGGGGGCTGAACTACAACTTCCAGAATTCCTAGTCAGCATTATCCATATTGACTCATATTACAAAGATGTAATGCCAACTCATCTAGGCTTCATTAGGATGAGAAAAGATGCATGAGACACTGCTGTCTATTTGAAAATCTGGATTGAAAAATTCATGTATAAATTGTTACCAATAAGCACACTATCCAGAGGGAATGCATTTCAACAATTACCTCTTTTATCTACTACAAAATCCCCAGGGCAAAACTCATTGTTGTCCAAATGATGGACAGGAAAGAGCTCATTGGAACGAATATTTTTCTCCACTGTGCCATCCTGCCACATCACATCTGCTGACGTCATCGTGGTCACCACTTCTACAGCAACCCTGTTATCAACAAGGATAGAAAATTACTAAGGAAAAGTCTCACAGCAAGTCAGGGTAAAGATTAAAAAAAGAATGGTGGCGTTTTTAAAACATCATAAAGAATTGACTTTAAAGTTGGAGCCAATATAAAGGCAGTTTTTGAGAGGAAAAAACCCTTTAGCTGCAAAAGCTGGTCAGTTGAACATAATGGTAGGGATTAAATGGGCTCTCAGAATACCATAAAGGAGATTATGCTACAATGGAGCAAAAGGCATAGCCTTTACTGGGGAAGGTAGTACTACAGAGCTGCCATTTTCCTGAAATTATGAATCATTTCATTTCTATCTCATCCCAGACCGGATAGTGAACAGGGAATATAAAAATTACAAAGCAATAATATCCTTCCAAAACTGATATGTGATGTTTTAATATCTAATGCTTGTGCTCATAATCAGCTCAGGCAAATAAAATCAAACTTGCTTTCAAAATGCATGGAGGGTTGGGGTTCCATGTACTTTTAGGGACAGAGAATTCCACAAAATGGAGGTTATCAAAAACAATAGCTTTCTACACCACAAGTACCTCAGAAGGGGTAGAGACTGACTCTCCAGATTTATAGAGTATAACTGTACAGAGTCCCCTACTTAAGCAGGGGGTTGGACTAGAAGACCAAGGTCCCTTCCAACTCTGTTATTTTTAGTCTGGACAGGCAGATTCAAAGCTGATAAAGCATTACCTGATATATCCTGGTGCTTCAGTATTTAATGCTTTAGAAGAAATGACCAACACTTTGAACTGGGCCAGGTACCAAGAATTGTCCTGCCAGAAACTCCCTTGGCTTTCCAAAAAGGTTATTATCTTAATAATTACCATCAGTGGGGTAAATATCAATATATTGGGGTTTGATTAGTGCAAAAAGAACACTGTCAGCTGATTGTTTTTGGTAAACGCTTTTATGCTTTGCTTAACTCTTTCCTCCCTAAAGAAGGTATACAATTCAATTGGATATCTATTAAGATATATCAAGCAATATCTTAAATGATATATCATATGAAAACTGTATCCGTAGCGTGCAGGCAACACAGGTCTTCCTACATTCTCACTAAGAGACATATTTTTTTTATTATATGTTTTTAAATTATGTACAGGGTTTTATCAAGAAATCGGATCAGGTAAGTGCTTAATGACATGTACACGTGGGATGATACCAGCTCTAGTCTTACCTGTCACCTGGTTTAAATTCCCGGGAAACCTTGGTTTTCTTTTTCTTATGTTTCCTCTTGAGGTTTTTAATAGAAAGTGGGATACTCTTTTTGCGTCCTGTACCGCTGCCGCTCTGAGAAGAGGCTGTGGAGCTGGCAGAAGATGTTACAGAGCTGGTGTCATCTGTGTCATCGGCTGCTTCATCATCAGCATCCTGTTCTATAGACTGCAGATTGTAATCTGAGGAGCCATCCTCCCGTTTCAGGACAAAGGCTGGTTGCAACTGCAGCCCCACTACTTCACAAGACAAGCTTTTCCTTGTTTCATCAATGTGCTCTCTTTTTGTGTCCTGCAAGCCTATAATGTCACTGACATTAGAGTCCTCTGCTCCACATTTCAAGTTGGCTTTAAGATGTTCAGACTGTTGGTCACCTGCTGCCGCAGATTCTCCTTCAGGGAGATCAAGGGTTCTCTGAGCGTCTGGGGAACATGACATGATCTTCACTATTTGCTTCTTCAGTAGTCTCCTTACCTAGAGGAATCAGTGCAGGTCAAGAAACACAAAAATTCCCCAACGCTTAAAGAAATTGAGCCATTTTTTTTAAAAAAAAATATGCTGCCTATTTGGGAGCTGAAAATTATTTGGAAAATCAAAACAATGAGAATATTTTCTATTTGTTCTTAATGTTAAATATTTCAGCCCTAAAGGAGAGAAAACAGGGCAGTGTTTCATCACAGTATTATGTCATATATCACCACCACCATTCTGCCTATGTAAAACAAATAAAATTCCAACAATCAATCTTCTGGCAGGATGATAGGGAAAGGGAAGGCATGACAAAATCCAATTGTAAAATTATTGACACAACTATGTCAATGGGCTTCCCTAACATTCTTTCTCAGAAATAATCTATTCTGAATATCCACATGAATATGCGTTCTCCTCTTTCCCTAAGTGTCCTGTAAGATAAAAATTCTTCATTTATATCATACTGATATTTGTTATATTCAAATAGAAGATTGCTATAAGGAATAAAAAATATTATATCACTCAATATACAGTATTTATATGGTGGAAGAAAGGATGATTTGCAAGAACTGAAAATTATCAAGATGTAGTGAATGGTGGCAAACTGCCTAGAATTATATATCCTTTTCTTTGTTCTTAGCTCATGGCTTAAACACATACACATACTCCTATACATATATTCTATCATAATAATGCTTACATTGCAAGGAAATACTGTGATAGCTAAATATGCAGAAAATTATTAAAACAGTTATATTTCATAATCTGCTAGTCATTTTAAAAAGAGATTAAAATTACTCAATATATTAAAATCACAACAATATGTTATGAATCAATTCCAAAATCTCCCACTGACTTTTATTTCAGAAAATGAAGAGTTTAAAATATTAACTTTTTACAGGGAGAAAACATTTATTTATACTGAGATACTTCTGTAATTGGATTTTAGGAACAAATTTATTGAACATTAAGATGTTTTCAGACAGAGAAGAAGTGTGTATATTACAGTACCTTTTCAGGCTTTACATTGGATATGAAACAAGGACAGGCCATCTGCAATATTAAACACCATCATTTTGGTATTACTATTGAATGCAAAGGATTGTTAACAGAGGAAGAATAAATTTAGAAAATTATTCCAGTTTTGGAAACATTTCGTTCACATTTTTATTTGTATTGTAACCCCTAAAATAAATTAAAGAAATAGATTTTACAGTTACGTTTTTCCTCAGAAGAAAATGCTAGTTTGAAAGAAAAAAAAATACTATTACTTGAAGCCATTCAGGCAAAATGCTGACTGTGTAATCCTTGCATAGGTGGCTAGCCATATTTTGAAACCTGACAAAATCTTCCACTTTTCAGATCTCTAAACATGCATAGGAAGATTTAGCTTTAGCTAAGAGATGTAAGATATACTTTTAATAATTTAAATATTAAATATTATTTTCATCACGATGACATATATAGGCTTTCTTTTTTCACCGTCATTTTACTCTGTTGGTGATGTGTTTTTGTATTTTAGTATTTTAGTATTTTAACATAGGAAAAAAAGCAAAGCTTGGTTTCACCACCATATTTGGAAAATGGTATGTATTCTTTGGTGAATGAGGTTTAACAGGTCCAAATTAAAGAATGTGCAATTGAAATCTTGACTGTATTTTTAGATACTAAAATTAAAAAATGGGTGTAGTGATTGGAAATATTGGCTATGACATATCAAGGGCATACATTTATCCCATGTTACTATGATTGTAAAACAGCAAGATACTGTTTTACACTAAATGTAGATTCTAATTTTTTAAAAATGATAAACATGCAGAATAGATTGCTTGTTATTTATGAAATATTTAAACAGCACTTTACAATATAAATTCTGAATGAATCTGCATTTCAAATTTGGATTTTAATCCAGATTTTATCTGAAACAATACACAAAGATTTTGAAATATATGAAAACAAGACCTGTGTTACTACTATATGCGTAAACAACAAGCATTTTTCATGTGGAAAATATGATACACATCAGTACTCAGGGTCTCAACTATTTAAAAAGTTGCCATATGAAAACAAATTCCACCATTTATCAATCAATTCAAACAACAGAACATTATACATTTTCTCTTGAATGATCAACTATCATATGATTTTCCCTCCAATGATAGAGGAATTCAGTTCACAATTCTGGAATCACTTAACATTCATTTTTTTCCTATTCCTTTGCTGAAGAATAAATTGGAAATATAATATTACTAATAATTAAGGTTTATGCTAACCATGTCTGCATAACCTACAAGACTAAGTGATATCTGAATATGATTAAGCAATCAATTAATATTATGCTTGTGTGTTTCTTAAAATATCATGTCCTGGGAGACAAAATTTAAAAAATGAAAGCAGTCCCTGACAATCATTCCATCTTCTTAACCATAGCAGAAATTGGTCATAGTGGAGATATACAGAGCCTAACAAGAACAGTTAGAAATAATGAACAAAAAGCAACATTCTCAGAAATAGTTCAATATTCTCAGCTAACTTTTATCAGGGCACATACCTTCTTAGAAGCTGACCCTTCTCCCAGAACACAGTTTCTCTCTGGACATTCACAGGTGATTTTTGCTGGCTCCACTTTCTCCGGAAATACATACAGACACCTTTCTCCAAGCTGCCGCTCAGCATGGTCAAAACAACCCAGACGTTTTACTCTATTAAAAGCAAAACAGAAGTAGTATCACCTTACTGTTGGATGGTATCTTCTTCCTGATTCGTCAGCGTTAGCTGAAATGTCTAAAACTGTTTCAAGTATATGCACAGTGATACACTATTTGGGAAATCACAGGATTTAAAGAGATGACTACTTCCTAATTTTACAAAAATTTAGAGCAAACTCGGTAATAAAAATATTTACTAATAGAAAACATATTCCTATGGCTTGTCCAGAAAGATGTCATGGAGTATATGGGTGAACACACATAGCCACACACATAATCATACAAGTACATGGCTGGAAAACTTTATTCCTTCAAAGCTCAGTTATTTCAGAGCACCTCTGTACAAAACTGCTAATGATGTATCGTATTTTTTGGACTATAAGACATACCAGACCATAAGACGCACCTAGGTTTAGAGGAGGAAAACAAGAAAAAAATAGGTTTTTTTGCCTCCGGGCATCCCGTTTTTGCCCTCCCCAGCGTCCAGAAGCACTTTGTCCATTTTTGGCCTCCCAAACCCTCTGCGCATCTTGTTTTCCACCTCCCCAATACCAGGAAGGGCAAAAGGGCAAAAACGGGCCCCACAGAGGCCTCCGGAGGCCAAAAACAGCCTGGTTTTGGCCTGCAGAGTGCTTCTGGATGCCAGGGAGGGGAAAAAATGGGACGCATGGAGGATTCAGGAGGCCAAAAACTGGCCCCTATTCGCTCTGTAAGATGCACAGACATTTCCACCCACTTTTTTCTGTTGGGGAGTGCATCTTATAGTCCAAAAAATACAATAACTTCTATATTGAGCAAAGTGCACAATTACTGGGCCCTCCAAATAAACACTTTCTGGAAATGTATTTATTTATTTAAAAACTTATATAGCTGCCTATTTTAAAATCAACTCAGGATGAGACAGGCAAACAGAAGGCTAGGTCTGAGATCAGAAGTACTATAATGTCATACGATGGCCATTCCTGATATAAGCTTTGATTGTAAGAAAGAGAATTAACCCAAAATCGGGATGCCCAGAAACTCATATTTATGCATGTCTTAATACCATTTTCATATATATTAATCCATCACTTGATATATTTGCTTTGGTTTAGATGACGTAAAACATATCAGGAAAGAAATCATGATTCACAAAACTACAGTAGATAGTTTCCCTCCCCACAAACCAAATCAACAGTATGTTTTTAGCATAAAGCAGAGGAAGGTTAAGTTTGGTTTGTTTGTGTTTTTAAAAATATTTTTTATTCAAAGATTAAAAAAAACAGTGATAAAAAGCTAGTACAAAATAAATAATGATAACATAAATAATACAAAATAGAATTAAAGAAAGAAAAAAGAGGAAAATATATAAAAAGAAAACAGAAGGAACAGAAAATTAAGACAAAAGAAAAAAGGAAAAGAAAAAAAGATATTTAAGGAAGCGATTTCTGATTTTGATTATAGTGGATACTATAGCAAGCTTGATGTTTTTCCTCTCCCTTTGAATTTTTTTTAAAAATAAAACTGATGTTCTGAAGATCTCGTTTATCTCTGAAGTAATTGTAATTCAAAGGTAATTGTAAGTAATTGTGATTTAAACAGTGAGGTTTTAGCAAACCCTTAGAGTCCCCTGTGGCTATGAGCTTGATGTCAGTTCATGGTGCTTAAACTGATGAGTTGTCTATAATACTGCAGTCCCTTTGCAAGGAGGAGTATAGGTTGTCCTTCCCTTATAACAGTTCATTTCATGATCAAAGTTACAATGGCACTGAAAGAAGTGACTTATGACCATTTTTCACGGTTACGAACTTTGCAGCATCCCCATAACCATGTGATCCAAATTCAGACGCTTGGCAACTAGTTCATACTTATGACCGTTGTTGTGTCCCAAAGTCATGTGACCTTTAGACAAGCAGAGTCAATGGCGAAGTTAGCAACCAGGTTATTAACTTCACTTAACAACTGTAGTAAGAAAGGTCGTAAAATTGGGCAAAGTTCAGTTAACAAATGTCTCACTTAACAACAGAAACTTTGGGCTCCATTGTGGTTGTAAGTCCAGGACTATCGAGCAGTAAGATCCAAGAAGGGGAAGCTATAAAATAATGCATTTTATGAAAGTTAAGTGGTTATTCTATTTTTATCAATTCAAAGCCTTTTCGGAAACTGGTATGAACCATTTCTTACCTAGATAAATTCTCTTGGGTGATTAAAGATGGGGGTGGGCTTATACTATCAGTTCCTCCAGGACAGAAGCTCTTAGTGATCCAAGTAACTTTCAGTTCTACTACTTGTACCTAAAGAAGAAAAGGTTGGATTGTGAGAGAAATGTTTCATTAAGATGTCCTTGTACTCTGTAACTACCAAATTAACATACAATTTCTGATTAAAAAAATTCCTGAGCCACCACTTTATCTCAATTTCCGAATTTCCTTTTGATTTCCATCTTTTTCCATGGTATAATCCTAAAAAATCCTAATAATCCTAATAATCTTTAGGATACAATCCTAATGTTAATTAGGCAACTAAAAGAGATGCACAACATATTAACAATTTTTTAAAAAAAATTCTGCTAGCTCTTCAACATAGGCCAAAACAGAAAACACACAGCACAAAAATTGCATTATAGGACTATACTTTTCCCAAGGCTGAATTATTTCTTATTTTTAATTCTTTGTTCCTGCATATTTTCTTCAAGGTTTTCTCTATATTCCTTTGCATTTACTTGTCAAGAGGCATTCTCTCCTGAGGGTTTTTCTGATTAAATACTAACAATCTAATATCCAAATGGACATAACTTCTACATTATAGACTTCTTCTATTAGAAATTTAAGTCTATGAACTGAACAAGGAAAGAAAATACTGAAATGGAATTGTTTCTAAAACAGCAGGCTCCTCCCTCTCTTAGTTTACAGACATTTCAAGACTACACACCAAGCTTTGTTTTGGAGAAAATCCAAATGATATTTCATAATAGGGTTATCTCGCTGAAACATACCTCTTCTACCACAACTCTGAATTTGCTCTTCGTACTGAGTACAGGTTTCACTCCTGAAAGCCACTGCACATTTGAGAAGACTTTTGAAGGACCAATGAGAACTTGTCCAGGATAAAAGCCGTATGAATCATCAAAAAACAGGCCCTGAAAAATGAAGCAAATGAAACAAATCAGATATGGTTAAATCATGGTCTACCCTAGTTGAACTAATTTCCTACATTTTATCTTAATTTTATCATTATGGAACTGCTTAAGAACTCAGGGGTCATCTTCCTGCACCCAATAAATTCTCTTTTCTGCTCTAGTCATTCTAAATAAGTACAAAAATCTCATACATAATTATGATTGGCTAAAGTACAAGGAATTCAGGGCTACAAAGAAACAAACAAGTCATTTCCATTCACCACAATAAAAGTCTTCTATTAACCTGTACTAAATAACTTCTTGAGCTTTTGGGAATAAATTGGATTCTGTAAGTGAACTTCCTTTACTTATAAAGCTGGCAACAACTTTAGGCATAGATAGTCAAACATTCAGGAAGACAAAGACAAGACTATTAGTCCATACAAACAAGACCTTATCTATTTCTACATACAACAGTGAGGATATTGTTCAAAAAAAGCCAGGTTTTGCTGCATGAAGCACTTTATTTTTCCTAGCAAAAGTAACTGTCAACCATTTACTTATAGAGACGAGAAAATATATTATATACTAAATTAAAAACATCTTAATAGGATCAAAACTGATAGTGGTTTTGAAGTGTATGGACAATAGGATTATACCCATCTGAATTATTTTTGGCTTCAAATAACTGCCTAACTTAAGTCCTAAGCTGCTATTCCCAGATAGAAAAAACATGCTTAACTATTTTATCACATTACATAATAACATAACTCTCTCCCCCTTTCCTTTTCCAGATTCTTAGCACTGAATAAACTTTCAACTATAAGGTAGTCTTCAACTTACAACTATTTGAAGTTACAAAGATACTGAAAAAAGTAACATGACCGTTTTTCACACTTATGATTGTTGCAGCATCCCCACAGTTACGTGATCAAATCCAGGGAAATGGGAGATATTTATGACAGTTGCACTCCCCTGGGGTTATGCGATCCAATAAGGAAAGTCAATGGGGAAAAAAAAAATCAAGATTCACTTAATGAACGAATGGCAAAAAAGGACGTAAAATGGGGCAAAAATCACTTAACAACTTCCTTGCTTAGCAATCAAAATTTTGGGCTCAATTGTGGTTGTAAGTCAAGGACTATCTGTATGCTCTGCTCTACCTAATCCTCAGGAATATGCTGAAATGCAACTCTACAAATTAAGACTTATTAAAATGATTAAAAACATACTGAATCACTGACATGTGGGCAGACGTCATAGAGTTTTGCTGCATCTTCTGTGCTCATAGAACATCTAAAGAAATACATAAACCATTGGGAAAAAGATTGCAAAAGAGTTAGCATAATCTTCCTAATAGCATATTTGAATTCATATGCTCTTATGCTGGAATTTAATTATGTTAATTAATGAATAAAAAGATAAAGGTAAAAAATTTCTCTTATCCACTGGTGTCCGACTCTAGGGGGCAGTGCTCAACTTTGTTTCTTAGCCAAGGGAGTCAGCGTTGTACGAAGATGCTTCTGTGGTCATGTGGTTATATGCCAAAGCGCACAGAACACTCTTACTTTCCTATCTTTCCACCGAAATGGTACCTATTTATCCACTTGCCTTTAAATACTGAATAAAATTATTGGTCCATTAAACTTGTATGTTCAACTTTGACTGTTGAGACCTCCCCAAAGTTTCAGGCACAATCTTTCTTAATCAGTCCTATCTGGAGATGTCAGTAATTGATCCTGAACATTTTTGCATGCAAACAATTTATTTGGGAGGTGGGGGAGGGATTATTGAGTGCCCCCCCAAAGCAGATTTATCTATACTAATTTTTGTTACTAAGTAGATCATATGCTCATGGGAGGAAAAACATGGATTTAACCAAACTGCATGGGTCTCTAACATGACACCTGAGGGCAATGCCTTTTAATGTTCACCAAGCTTTCTGTCCTATTGGATTTTACTTTTTAACTTTATTTTAATTAGCTAGCATGCACCAAACAAATCAGTAACATCAAGCATACGTATATGGTCCCTTGGATAACGTGGAGCACTCCTAGCAAACAGACTCTGTTCTTTTTGCCTTCTGGTAAAATGTTCTGTAATTAGTCACCTCAGCCACACAGAACAATTTTGTGAGAGGGCTTCTATAACACAGTCCCAAAATTCCAATGTGCCCAATGGCCCCAAAAGGCTGAGGTTTTCCGACATAAAGCCTTACTGTACGAAGCCCTAATGCTAAGAACAATATTAAGGTTTTTAATAATGCCTGATATTGTTATGATTGAGTAATTTGGAACAGACAGATATATTCATATATCATCCACAAATTATGAGAAATATAGTTCTATAGTCTTATACACTAAGATTTTAGGAGACTAGGGCGTCAGAAAAAAGTACTCAAGATGCTGAATTCAAAAAGAGAGTTGCCTTATTTGCTCAACACAATGAAATCATCAGGGTATATGATCTTAAATAATCAGATAGTGAAGTACTATTGATAAATACTGAGATCCACTCATTTACATAACATGTAGTTCAGAAATAAAAATTACAAACTATCAATTATATAAAACAATTACAGTACTCCCAGACTTAGTGTCCAATTCTGAAGCTTTCTTAAAAAGAGTGTCTCCTAAGGTGGGGGTCCCCAACTCTCAGGCTGCGGTCTACTACTGGGCCTTGAGCCATTTGGAACCGGGCCGCGGAAGTGGCAGGTGAATGCATGCATGCATCCCAAGTTGCCTGAGCAGCAGGCAAGCATGCAGCTGTGTGTGCCACTTGCGCAAATGGAACTGCACGCACGCACTTGCCTGACACTCGCAGGGAACTATCCCACCACCACCACCTGTTCGCAAAGTTGGAAAGCTCTATGGAAAGCTCTGTATCTGATAAGTAGCCATATTAACTGGACTGATGAGGGTTATAGTCAAAAATATCTGAAGAGCATGATTCAGTTAAGCAAATATCAAAACAGTTTGTTGTTGAAATTTTAGTTTCCTACTTAACAAGTGGCTTCAACAGCTCTTAAATGCTTATTGTACAACTCAGATGCTCCACAGTTTCCCATTACAACATAAAAGCATGTTGAAACTGACATTAGTTGGCTACATAAGCCAGCTAATGAAGCTTTTGCAGGTAAGAGAGATAGAAGAGTTAACATCAAAAATAATGTTAGAAATGCAAGAACCAAGAAATCACCCAAAATTGCCAGTTTTCACTCAAGTTATACAAGTAATAACTCTGAACAATCCCAAACTTATTAAAAGATTCTATAAGCATGGTTTATCAACATAGTTGGTATCTGAGGAACAAGAGTACAACTGACAAATCAGTGTTATGAGTCTTTAATTCGAAAACAGCTAATGACATGCTCCATAGCAAAGCAACAGAAATACCTTGCACCATTGGAGAGCTTCAGAATGATTTGGTTCTTTAAATCATACACCTTTCCAAGCCACCAGTCATAGGCTATGCAGTCACCGTACATAAAGGGCTGAGGGGGAAGGAGAGAGTTAGAATGCCTGATTTCACAGTTTATTCTATCAGAGCTAGAAATTATTTTAATTCAATTACCAATAAGTTCATACAATTGTAATAGGGTAAACTAAATCAAAGTAGGAACTACTGCAAGAGCAAATGACCATGATCAATTGAACATCTTTCAGATGATTAAAGGGATTTTCCCTTCTTTATAAAATCCAGATACAGAGAAATGTGTTAAGTGTTTGTATTTTATGACCAACACCACAGTGGAGCTGAACAAATAAAAACAAAACAGAAATTATAATAGAAACAAAAACAAAACAGAACTTTGAAATCAGGAGACTGTCGCTTCTAGTTCTGTCACAGGCATAAAAGCTGGTTGGGTGACCTTGGACCAGTCACTTTCTCATCCTAACCTATCTCACAGGATTGTTGTTGTGTGGAATATAGGAGGAGGAAGGAATATTATGTATGTTTGCTGCTTTGAGTTACTTATACAAAATAAAAAAGATATTAAACATCTGAACAAAGAAATAGCTGGAAACATTATGGATAAATCTTATAAAGTGGTCCAAGAAAGACCGAATGTTTTGTATGACAATAAATTGAGAGGCAGCTTCCTCAACCTTGTAAGATCTGTGTGACAGCCAGTGTGCTGTGGTGAATAAAGTGAAGATCTGGCACTAGCAAGCCACAGGTTCTACACCCTCAACAATGGAAGCTTGTGCGATTTTCAGTCACTTACTTTCTCTCAGTCCAATTTATTTGAGTTTTTGTTATGAGAAAAAATAGAAGGGAGAACTAATTACATCACCTTAAACTCTTGTATGAAAGAAGCGATATAAATCTAACAACAAACAAACAAACTATAATTGATGAAACTGTAACACTTCTCATCTTTTTGAGGATGATTTTAGAGCACAATAAAGCTTTAGGTAAAAAATAATTTTAAAAGGTTAGTTTAAAAAGACAATGTACAGAAATAACTAGAACAAACAGAAAACTGCAAATTGTTATATTTATAAAATATTTATATTTCCTATTTATAATATAGGAAATGCATTTCTTTTCTTGCTAAAGATGTTACCGACCCTGTGTATTAACTGTACTGTACTTCTGAATCATATTGGTTGACATGAGGTTCCCTTGATCAAGTAATCAGTTTGGCTAATCACTATGTAGAGGCTCTGACTAAGCCCTTGCTTAATTGGATAGAAACCACTTGCAGATTTTAAAAATAATACAAGTATTGTACCATTTGTTTCAAAGGCTTATATTCCACACAATAATGGCAGGTTATTGACATTATTACAGAGTTTGTTTTTGTTTTCATCATTTTTATATCTTGCTTTTAGTTTGTATCAGTCCAGCCGCTTCCATAATGTCCTGCCTATTTAACTCAAGACAACAATCCTGAGAGGTAGGTTGGATAAAAAGAGAACGGTTGCTTTAAATCACTAGTCAGCATTTATGCCTAAGGAAAGTCTAGAACTGATGGTCTCCTGATTTCTACGCCAGCATCTTAGATGCTACTAATATGTTGAAACAATTTAATCGTAAGGCAGTAGAGGAAAGAAATATAATTGTCTAGTGGGGATTAAATCCAAAATTTGTTTTTATTCTGAAATAATAAAAGGACTTGGTTTATGTTATAAGAAGATCTTACAATAAGAGCTTTCAAACTGGAGATCAAAACTAGACATGCAAAAGCACAGAAAAAAAATCTGGAATAAGTGAAAAAAAATGTATTATGACATCTTTTAAAATATTGTATTTTAAATGATGTCTAACATGGCTAAGAAAAGTGTTCATTTGCTAGTCAGTTTTTACTCCCCAAAATGATTTCTAAAAACTTCATATGGGAAGATTTTTTATATTAAAATGTTTACAGTGTTAAGTCAATATAATTCTAGTACAGAGGAGACAAACTTTTTGATATAACTCTGTGAATTGGACAAGAATGCATTTCCTGTTCTCTCCAAGGCTTCAAAGTACTCGGAATGCAGGAAACATTTACAGTAATTGTATCTCTACAGGGTGCTCAATTTAAGTTTTACATGTAAGTTACTTTATCTCCCCAAATAATAATTTCCTATCAAAGCCCTAGAAAAAAATTATTCTTTATTACTTCAACATTTTTAGAAATTCTTTGAATATGGTCACAAGTAACAAATCATCTATTAATAGGTCTTAGAAGACTCTATTAGAGGCAGGTTCAGGTGGAATCCCAAATATGTAAGATTTAAAGGCACTACTCTCTCTAGATCAGGGGTGTCAAACTCAAGGCCTGGGGGCCGGATCCGGCCCACGGGGTGCTTAGATCTGGCCCAGGGGGCTGCCCTGGAAACAGCAAAGGACCGGCCCACGGTGTCTCTGCCAGGAAAAACAGAGCTCAGGGAGGGTGCATAAGGCCCACCCGGGCTCCGTTTTTGGCTGCAACAGCCTCCTGCAGCCCACGGCCAGCGAAAACTGAGGCTCGGGGAGGCTGCATGCTTTGTTTTCACCGACAGAGGGCTGCAAGAGGCTGTCACAATTAAAAATGGAGCCTCAAGTGACATTGAGCTGGCCACACCCCCTCGCCATGTACCATCCCACTCCCCTGAGATCAAACACAACCCTGAGGTGGCCCTCAATGAAATTGAGTTTGACACCCCTGCTCTAGATCAAATGTGAGCTGTATTAATTGATATTGCTTAATTTTTCTTGATTTAAGGTTGTATTTGTTAAGTGAGAAGAGTTCTTACTGTGTCAGGCTAAATAGTCTAAGCATTCTCACCCAGATATTCTGAAGATCTTTACTGTTAACAGGATACAGGATGCAGTTGGTTCCTACCAGTTTTACTGCACACTCGATATTGACATCAACAACTGTCCCACACTGGCTATCCTGGAAAGAAAAACAAATATTTCTTTAAACCTCAACATGGTTTCAATATTTGCAGAATCCAAGAATCTTTCAAGTTTCACCCACTGCTTACATAGAACGAGAATCAACATCCATGAAATACAACCTAACAAGATGAATAAAGAGCTTTAAACCCCACCCCCCCTCCCCATTTACTGGGCAAAAAACCCTACTGCATCCAGATTCTTGTTTCTATATCCAACACTCTTATCTGAAGTGTAGAACTCCTACATCAGATAAACTATTTCTCAGATTAGGTAGCATCTATCCCTTATCCAAGACATCAGAACAAAGAGGATAGCCTTTATATACAAGTCAATTCAGATTACTGTCAAAAGAATTCCACAGAAAACCAGTATTTCTTAAACACTATTTTATGCATTCAAGTGTCAATGATTATATTATCTTGTATTCCTTGAACATTTAGAAAAGTGCCAAAAACCTTTTCGTAAAACAAATATCAGTAAATAGTACTGTCATGTATCCTAAATTGTGGGTGTCCTTTTTTTCTCCCTTTACTTCTTCAGATTTAAAACATTAATTAAAATAATCAATAACCAAGAGGATGAAATATTATTTTTGATACGCCTTGTGCCTATATATATATTACTTGCTCACTGAGAAAGATACAAATCTAGACACATCATTATCTTTTTATAATCTGGCAATTGCTAGAATGATTTATTTATTAATGAGTGGCATCTAGTTAAAAATGAAGTCTAGCTGACTTGCAGAATTATTCCCAAACTTCAAGATTTATTAAAGGACATACTTATACTGAAGAGATCTGTCAATATAAAATAAGTGAATTATTTCAGGGAAGATAAGGCTGTTAATGGCTCTAGTCACGGTGACCAGACATTGCCTAATATATAGCGCTGTGAGAGAGTGAATCCCTGCTCTCCTCAAAGCACAGCTCCACCGGATTCCTGGGAGCTGTGCAGAAGCCACCTTGCTTGTTTCTAGGCTTTTTAGAATAAATTGCTTTCTCACTAGCTTTTAACTCTTACAGTGCTTCCAGATGTAACAGCTGTTAGACACCAAAGCTGAGTCAAAAAGCTGGGGAGCCAGCTAGGGGTTGGCTTTTTATATAGTGGCAGACTCAGCTTGATGACATCACAGGGAGGAGTCATACCCATCCTGGACTCTCGTCGCAGCGTGGATGAGAACAGCAGTATACCTCCTCTTAGTATCCGATGGTAAGGAATACAAGATGATATTGTACAGGTATAATCTCCAGGTTTTGAGTGTTCCCTTAGTAAATGTTCAAAGTGCCCCCTCCCCTCGGAAGCTCCATTCGGGCCTCCAGAGGCCTTGCAGGCTGAAATGGAGCTTCTGAGGGAAGGCCTGTGTAGGCACATGGCTAAGAGGCTGGAGAGGAGACTGCTTGCTAGATCTTTGCATGGCAAGTGACCCAGTGCAGCAGGTTGGGGAAGGGAAAAGCAATTGTAGAGAGCATGAGCTATTTCAGTGGGTTGGGGAGGCCGTGGGTGGTCTGAGGAAGGTGGCCTGTTCCATCACTAGGCCCCCCATGGCCTTCCTCACCCTGAAATACCTCATGTGCACGTAACGAGCCTCACATTCGATTAGCGAATGCGTAGGTGAAAGGAAGGAGTGATCCTGTTCAAGGTATGAAATTCACTCCCACAAATTCTCAGGTTTCAAATGGAATGGGCAGGCTCCATGATACTCGTAACTCGAGGACTACCTGTATTATAGTTTGTTTTGTTTGTGGGCTTCTCCTCTTATGGATATTACCCGCGTATGTTTCTCTCTCCAAAAAACAAACATTAACTGGTATGTAGCAAAGGGATTTCCAAGGGGAGACAACCCTTTACCATCAAGTGTAACTTTTAAGGTTCTGAACATGATATCCATGCACAGTAGTATGTCAAATAGAAATGCTAAGGTCTAGAGATTGCATACTGATTACAATTGTAATGTATAGTATGAGGTTACTCCTTGCAATGCAGGTGTACAAGAATAGTGATTAAGGACTCAATATTTCTTAAAATATATATTCCACTATATTCCTTTTCTAATTGTTCAATGAGAAAATTTCTTAATTTTCAAATCCAATGATCACTGAAAGCAGCTGATGATTTTTGGGTGCCAGGGACCGGTTCTGTAGAGGGTGGTTTTCTGTGGACTGGGGGGTATGTGATTTCGCATGATGCCTGGATCCCGTGCATGCGTGGATGGAGCTTTGCTCACTTGTGTGGCCCGGTTCTTGCTGGTGCACAGCCCAGGGGTTGATTTGCACTTTCTTGACTGCTTGATTTCATGCTACTTTGCCACTAAGAAAAAAATGTTTACTGATTCCTGAAAAATGGCTAATAATATAAAAATGACTTTTTACTTGTACCTGTAATAATATTTATTCCAATCTGAATAACTGCAAACTGTTCCCTGGCATCCTTTCTTCAATAACATCATATGCTATCATGCTTATCTTTGAGCATTATTTGCACATGAGTATTAAAAGTAATACATCATTACATCTATCTAGACCAGAGGTCTCATTCTCGCGGCCTGCGGGACGATATCCTGTGGCCCCCACCGTGATATGAAAGTATAACATTTGAGGATATTTTTTTAACAACGTTTTTTGTAGAATCCCTTATGCGGCCCAGCCTCACCCAGACTCTGCCTCCAGCGGCCCCCAGGTAAATTAAGTTTGAGACCCTTGATCTAGATAAATGATCTGGGCCTTGTAAAATATGTCTATTGCAGTTAAATTTAATAGTAGCAACACACGAGATATTACTTTGTCTCTTTGTCTTACACATGGCAACACTTACACGTGAGCCCATATGCCTGACGACATCTCGAGGCACCACTGATCTGTCTTCGAGCTTCAACTAGAGTTGAGAAAAAGAGACACAAGATAGTATTAATTCTAAGCATATTTTACTACATGAACAGCCAGTACTATATTGTGTGTGTGTGTGTGTGTGCATGTATGTGTTCTTTCTTTCTTTCTTTCTTTCTTTCTTTCTTTCTTTCTTTCTTTCTTTCTTTCTTTCTTTCTTTCTTTCTTTCTTTCTTTCTT